TGGCAGAGGTGAATACCAGTGATCATTATCTGCTGATCTCTTCTTTGTCTAAGCTAATGCAGATACTCCTTGATTTCCCTCATTTAAGGCAGAGAAATGAACTGCAGGCTTTCTGGCAAATTGCTGAAAGTCTCCAGTCTGTCAACTGGAATAGTACAGACAATCTCACTCCCCAGTCATTTTTGGACATGCTGCAAAATCAGTTAAATACTGTGGAAAAGTACTCCAGTTTTCCCTTTGGTGAGGAACTGAAGGAGCTGCTAAACTTTGCATCCTCCATGCTTGAGCTGTATGGGGAAGAGCACTCCAGAGGAACCAACATCTCCATGTACTTGCAGGCCATGCAAAGGAGTATCTCAATTTTAAAAGGTTTGCAGAAAAGGTATAATATCAGTGAGCTTGAAATTATCATCCTATTATTTGATACTTACAGTAACTATACCCAGAGACTGATTGAAATTGGGAGAGCAGGGCTGAAAGTTCTGCATGACACCAACTCAAACAAAACATTTGCAGAAAAAATGGACATTGTCTATGATTTCTCACACTTGCTGTTGCAGGAGTTCAGCCAGTCTTCCCTACAGCCCAGTGCTTCTCTAGAGGCAAAAATTTGGGAGTTCTTGCATTCAGCCTTGAGTCCTTTCCTTGAGAACAGCAACAATGGTGACAGGACCCTCCAGAACTGCTCTTTTGAAAACGTGCTCCACATAGCACTTGAGATGCTGTTTGAAAATGCCACTCTAAGGGAGTCCTTAGCCAGGAGCCCCTGCAAGGCCCTCTTTGATTCCATGGGCATGGAGGGTGGAACAGTGCACAATGACAGCTTTGCCAAAGTGTTCCAGCTTGCCATAAGAAACCTGAAACTGTCTCCAGAGTTTTCTGCTCTCTACAAGAGCAGCAGTGAACGCTTCTCCAAGGAGCTGTCGTGCATCACCCAATCTCTGCATTTTTCTCTGAGTTTCCTTTCCAAATTAAACCTTGTGTCTGAGCTGGAAAACTCTTGGGTGCAGGAGAAGGCGAAAGCTCTGACTGCTGTCACGGAGGGGCTGCTGCAGAGTAATGTCTCCTGCCCCATCCCAGTCCAAGATGTGCTCCCATCTCAGCTTTTGAGCCTGCTGATTCCTGCCATGCTGAGTGAAACAGTACTGGACTCCCTAAATTTCCCTGACACCGTAGCAAGCTGGAATAACCTGTCCATGCTCTTCAGTGTGGCACAGGATGAGCTCCACATGAACAACCTGCTGCAGAGACTGCACGGCGCCTTCAGCCTTCCCAAATGGAGTTATTACACAAGTGTCTGGGATGTGGTTGACAGGTTCCTCAACACCAAATGGAATCTAACTGAAGGAGCTGCCTTTGGAAAGTTGTTGAGAGCAGTGGCAAACAACTCTGCCAACGAGATGTCAGCTCAGGAAATCACAGAAGCCAGCCTCTACATTCTCAAGGGGCTGAACTTCTCTGATCTGCTAAATGAATTCAATATAAGTTCTGGCTCAGCTTTTCGCTCCAACAAAACTAGTTTTGACAGTGTGATTGATATCATCTCTCATCACTTCGTAGTTGTGGCAGAAACCCTCTACAACAAGACCCTGCCTTGGTCTCAGAGTGACCACACTCTGTCACCAACCAGTTTGATCGCACGGTGAGTTTGGGTTTTGGGGATTGTAATTGCATTTATGGGTAGTGACCACCATTCTCATTCTGCATGAGAAGGATGTAATTTTCTTCCGTGGAGCAACTTAAGCCTGCAATCACCACAATTTAGGAGATGAGGTGTAATGTGGGTTAAATTGAAAAAAAGAAGACTTCTCCTTGAGTTGAACATACAGCTGAAAGTCAGACTTCCAAAAATCTTCTGTTGGCACATATCAGCTCACAGTGGAAGCAGAGTCCTTAAGGAGTCTTGCCACCAGTGGTAGGCTCTTTGGAAACAACTTTTTTGTGGTTTGATCCTCAGTCTCCCCTGGGTGTGCCTTTCCATCTATATTGTGCATCCACAGTGAACGTTTCAAGTATGTTTTCTTATACATATGGTTTGAGAGTGAATGACAGCTTTGGGAGATAACAGCAAAAAGAATTGATGAAATAAAACTGGGAGGGTACCCACTTAGGAGAGATGGCTTTTATCTGGAATTCTTATTTACACTGTCAAGGAACAGCATCTACACAGCTGACAGGTTGCTTGCTGAAGTATCTTGTTTCTGAAAGAGAAGCTGATTTAAATTCCTATCTTATTTTTCAGATTTCTGTTTTTGGAATTTGAAAACACACTCTTGCAGGTGACAATGAATAACAGCTGTAACCCTTACCTGAAGTGTTTAATAAATGCTGCTGAAGCTGAGGACAGAGAATTGACAGGTGATCATGATTTCATTAATGCCTTGGGACCTCAGCTGGAATGTGTCATGCCTGTCTTTTCAAAGTGTTCTGTCTAGTGGTAGGAAGGAATGGTGCTGCATGTTTTCATCTGCTGGTAATTAACTGGGGCTGTGAGACCTCGGGAAGCCAGACTCCTTTTTATGTTTGTTATGTCACATTGCGATTATAAGTTTCTATCCCACTCTATCCAGAAGGCACATCTACTCTTCACTATGTGATGACAGGTTGCTGACACTCAGATAAAGAAATCTTACAAATAGAAACCCATTTCCCTTCACAGCTCTTTGTACCTGGATGACAGCAGTTATTTTTGAGAGTTAAGCTGTTATTTCACATAGATACTGATCATATGAGGTTATTGTAACACCTGAGGCTTTACCTGCTCACAGAGTGGGGATACCACATGTACTCTGAAGGGCACTGCCAGAATCCTGTTACCAGGGTGGGATGGATTTCCCTAGGAACAGAGCACCTACTGGGACTGGATCCATTATAATTCAGATTACCACCTAAGCCTTCCTCTGGGGTTTCACAGGTTCTTGGCCATGTGAATTTGGTGGAAAATAGCAATGCTCAGTAGGCCTCTGAATAAAAGTGCTGATGTTCCTACCTGTGAAGTTTCTGCAAGTCTGGCATTTTTGTCTGGAGTAACTATTGTTTTTTTCTCTGCACAGAAAACATCACCCTGCTTTTGAAGCAAACTCATCTGAAAAAGAACTCTTTTATGCAAAATAATACCTCTGAGAAACATTCATCCATACCAGAGCTCCTGAAGCTAAAAGTGAGTCTGCTTAAAATGCTGACTTGAAGGACATCCCGCAGTGATACATGAATGTGCAATGGTGGTTTAGAAAAACAGCACATGGAAAAAAGTTTCTGAAAAGAACAGCTGATAAAACTAGGACGGAAACTCTGTGTTCTGCCTAAATTTGAAGGTCACCAGTAAACTGGGTTGAGGAACTTGTTCTTGTATCAGTCGTTATCGAATGTATACCTGTTTTTGAGAGAAGGTAAAGGTGTTCCTGTCCTCCTAGCCTGTTGGATAGAATGGCTCTGTTTTCTGCCAGCCATCCCAAAAGGGTGGGCGCTACATAGATTGCCAGTGGCAGCATATTGCTCAGTGCACCATTGGTTTTAAAGTTCACTGAGACTTAGCAAAGCACCTTGCAGAGCTGAGATCATTCTGGGATGCCTCTGCTTCAGCTGAGAAGTGGGTAGGGAGGAGTTCTCAAAGGCACAAGTAGGGATTAGACATCTCTGCCCTGCTGAAGATCAGGGAATTGTGCATCCCTAATTGACAGTTATAAGCATGACTAACTTGGTTACCACTGTGCCTAAGGAGCTGTGCTAACACCAGCATGGCTGGAGTCAAGTCCCCACATGCTCCCTTAGCCCTACATATCTCACAACACCAGAATGGGTTCTGAGATTAAGCACAAGTATTTACTGGTGGAGTTCCCTCACCAGCTTTGGGTTTGGCAATGCCTCATTTGAATAAAACACTTCTTACCCCATGCACACATGATTGCACTAATAGCATTCATGCACTTTAGTCTATTGCTCCATATGAGAAATAGTATTAAAGAGTCTTTTTAAAAAATATAACAGTATACAATGCTGTTGCTGTGCAATATATCTGTAATAATAATATGATGAGCCTCAGTGTGACAGGTACTCAGAGGCATAAACCTGAAAATAATTCTTCCCATAAGAGCCTGATAATGTAAATAATGATGTCAGACAAGAGGGAAGCCCATAATAGCAGAGTAGGCAAAGGATTATAATTTTACACGGGTTGGCAGATGTGGAAGTCCTGACTTGTGGCGAAGTCTCCTTGCTGTGCTGTAGTAGATGACCAGGTGGTATCCGAAAGACTGAACCTGTTGGGCAAGGTAGATTTATTTGGTCTCTGGGAAGATTAACTGGTAAATGGGTAAGTCCAAATGGAGTATTACTGTGCGTGTGTGTGGGGTGGGGGAAATGATATGTTAGGGCTTGCAAGGTTTATTAGATCCAGCCAGGTCTGCTACAGACTCATGTAGGAACAATTGTTACGAACTCTCCTATTGAAGACCTTTGGAATGAACCTAAAAATATATATATTAAAATCTTAATCCTAAGGAGAAACAGAAAGGGACAGCTGGACTCTTTAAAACTTACCTTTTACAATTCTGTCATCTAACTGGTGTTTGTGCATTTGTCTTCTTTCGTCAAAACCTCCTTTGAAGATCTCTCGCCTGCGGGATCTGACAACCCTTCTGTGTGACTACGAGAGCTTTAAGTCAGTCCAGCAGCTCTGCCACCTCCCCGAGGTTGGCTTTGGAGAGCTGTGTGAGCAAGGCCAATCCCACGAGCAGCTCCTCCGCGCTGTGGAGCTGAGCAGTCACGTGGTGACCGATGTCCTGAATCACAGGAGAATCTCCCAAGAGCTTCAGAATGTACTCATTGGGGATGCCACGAACATCCAGACACAGCTGAATTGGTGAGGCTCTTCCCAGAGTTAGACTGCTTTAGTATTCTGTTTTTAGGAAACAACTTCTTGCCTTCTTTTCATGTCCTCAGTTTTGTTTGTTGTTTTGTTTTTTCCAATGTAGGCTTCAAGAAAATGTACCAGAAATTGCTTTCTTTCAAGAGATTCCTCAATATATGGCGACTTTGAATTCCATGTTTAACATCACTGAGAGTTTAACAAACTCTAGCAAGCAAGGTACTTTTCTGTGTTTACAGTGTTGGTACACCATCACTGGTACCATACTTTCTGCTGGAAGTCCCAAGAATTGCCTAGCTGCCAGGAAGAAGTGATATTAATGAAATAACCATGCCCCATGTCCCATGCCCCTTGGGATCCTTTATCTGGGGTACCACACTTCCATGCTTCACCTGAAGTCCTCTCTGTGTGCTTTAGATTGCTGTGTGTCTGGAGAAAGCTGTTACGTCAATTGTTCTTTGATTGTTCTTTACAGAAAAGTTAAGAGATGTGTTTAAAAATGTGGACCAGCTCAAGGAGGATCTCAAAAACGCAACAGGAATGTCTGCAGCCAGTATTGATGCTCTTCTGGAAACACCTCTCCCAGAAAACAGCAGTCAGGTAAGTTTGCTGTCATCCTGTTGGGAGATCTCGTTGCTTTCTACTTCTCAGGCCATTAACACCAGAATTAGTTAGTGAATGCAGCTGAGCAGATCACTGCATGTGTGACAGCATGGAGAGGGGTGAGTGATCCCGTAGGGATAGACAGCAGAGCACATTATGGATTGGAATCACCACCGGGAATGTGGCCGGAGCAGTCACTGATGTCAGTCCCTCCACTGGGGACCAGGAGCCATATGGTCCCTCTGGCTGTCAGCAGTGGCTGGTGCACAGCCAGGCCCTGCCTGGGGAGGGATGGCTCTGATCCATGGCAGGATGTGGTTCACTGGGACAGACTAATGAGGGCTGGGCAGTGCCTTCGGTGGGGTCCTCAGTGCTCAGAAGTTGTCGCAGTCCAGATGGAAAATACACTTGTAACCACATCTCATGGGAGCACTCGGGGTCCAAAAATAGCCTCCCAGAATGAGAGATGAGCTTGCCTTCCTCAACCTCCTGTGCAAGCAGAGCTCCAGATGCTTTTCCTTCCCAGCCATCTTGTCTGGACTGAGCCCCAAAGAGTGAGCTCTTTTCCAAGCTTCACATGCATCAGTCAATGAGAAACTGAAGCCACAAAAGATTTTACTACTGTGCAAACTGGGTGGTAAAACACAGGCCTTAGGATTTGTCCCTGGGAGAGGGAGTAATGGGTAGGCACTTCCTGGTTCTTGGGGTTGAAATATGACACTGTGGAAAGAACAACAGCACAGCAAGATTAATCCATGCATAGTGGAGCATGCAGCCCACCCCTAACAAATCCATTTTCCCTCTGTGCAAACACAGCTCATTTCTCAGCTCCTACAGCTGGAGTCCTGTAGTGTCGGTCCCGCTGACCCGCAGCTGCGAACGGTGGCAGAGGAGTTGTGCAAACTCTCTCTCTCAGAGAGGACTCGTGGGACCTACATCCTGGGGGTCACGCTGTTACGACACTTAGACGTTTACAATTTCTTGTACAAGGTTAGTGCTGGCTCTGTAGAGTGATTTCTGTAGTCTTTGCTGCACACAGTGGCTGAAAGGTCATAAAATATCATTGCAGTGGCCAAAAGCTATGAGGATTTACACAAGCCAAAGATCAGGCTTTGCTCATGCAGTAATTTTTATTGCATATCCATGCTGTGACAGTGTGGATATAAATGAGAATCCCAGCTGGTGTAAACCAGCAAACCTCATTTAAAGGCACTGGACCTACTCTAAATGCCTCCCTATCTGCTAGTATCATTTATGTGCTGTCACAACCTCTTGAACATTCCCAACTGACCCAAAAATAAGGCACTGGGCTAAATAGTTTTATTCCTTGAAAAGGAAAGCCCTGGAAAAAGTCTCATAAAATATCTTTTTCCTATCTATTTGGAACTACAAAGTTATTAAATGATTCAAATATCCCACAGACACAGCTGTAGAAAGAGCATGGAAGAGAACATCCACAGTTAAATGAGTACATATTTAAAAATGCTTATTAAATGAGAATGCCAATGAAGTTGAGCTCAGGTCAAAAGTTACTCGTAGTGTTTGACACCTGTGCTTTGTGAAATGCTACCACTTAGAGACCTGATTGTATCCCAGCCAGTAGCTGACACACATTTCTCAACTGTGGGTGTTTGGAAATGTGCACTGTTCAGATTATGTAATATTCAGGGGAGTGGTTTGCAAAAGCACTTGGGGATTTAGAAATACAAATCCCATTCATTTCCCATGGGACATACACCCTTTAAGCCTCCTAACAGTTTTGAAAATCCCACACTCCTTATCTTTGAATTGACACAATGTAGGTGTGTACATGCACGTGCACGCAGATTCCTGCTAATTGTAATTGACTTCCTTCCTGCTTCTTGTAGATGTTTTTCCCTAAGGAACTTCAGCAACCCATGGACAAGATGTTAGGCCTTCTGACAAAAATGAAATACTTCAGACACCAGGTTGAATCTGGTGTTGATCCATTGCTACAAGCTATTCATTCCCTGAAAAAGCTCCGGCAGTCTAGGAAAATGCCACTGACTAAGGTATGTGTAGTCTGCATGGGCTTTGGAGGCAAAACACCACTGGAACAGTTTCCATAGTCATTTCTTACCGTGGAAGCCACATTAAACCACATTAAAACAAGAAAAATCTCTATCAAACTTGTCCAAGGCCTGTTTGGGTGGTGTATTGAACAACTTGGTCTAGTGGAAGGTGTCCCTGCCCATGGCAGAAGTGTGGAACTAGGTGATCTTTAAGGTCCCTTCAAACCCAAACCATTCTGTGATGGTGTGCTGCCTTCCTGGGAAAGCTTTGATTTGGAGCAGTGAGACCATCACGTGCTCATGACAGGGGGATACAAGGAACACGTGCTGTGGGAGGGACACTTGGAACAAAAATACAGGGGATGAACAACTGTCTTGAAGGAGGGAGGACTTCCAGCAAAATACTGGAAGGGTCAGCTGGTGAAAACAGCTGGGGAACTGCCGAGTAAAGGCAAATCCGGTAAGTTAACAGCAAAACATTGCTCTGGCTTTACTGTGCATTAGATCACACCCAAAGCCTTGAGCCTGCCCGAAACATTCAGTACAAACAAATTACAGCTCTGGCAGCCGCAGTAACTTCAGCGTGCAGTACCTTCATCCAGCACCATGTCCAGTCCCTCTCAGATCCATAGTCAGTGAGAATCAGTCCTGGTCATCACTTTGCCTGGACACTGTAGAGCCACGTGCATTCATGGACTAGGTGGGGCTAGGGAATGTGTACATCTATGTGACAAATTCTGTGTTGTAACCCAGGGCCCATCTGTGTCAATAATAGGGAATTCCTCTGCACACATTGTAGGCACTTCCCACATTGGCTCTCACACCTGGAAATGAATTTGCCACCACTGTCATAGCAGAGGTTAGCCAAAAAATGCATTATTTCCAAGGACAATTCCTTTTTTTGTAGAAACAAACTTCTCATAAGAAAGCAGTGTAAACATGTTCAATCCTTGCCTTCTCATTCTGTTATTTCTCTTTTCTCTCAGAGTGGGGTCCTTTCAGTGTGCAGGATTTGTTTGCATTTTGTCTTTTCTGCAGGCGTTATTTAAACCAGCCACATTTAGGATAACACGTGGCTCATTTAAGTCCATGTCAAAAGTTCTCTGCAACCAGGAGATCACACCCCTGTTCTTTGAGTCCTTGCTTCCAGATTTTGGAGACCCCACAAACAACAGTTCTTACACGGAGGATGTCTATGTCCAAAAGCTGATGAGGAAATATGGGATTCCTCAAGACTCCAGTAAGTCTGGCTTTTCCCTAGGGCAAAATCATTTCTCTGCTATTTCCAGAGAGATGTAGTGCTGAACTGTTCCCCTGTGTGTCTCTGAGGGCTGCAAGCACTCATTATTTATGCTAGCTGAAGATCTGCACTGCCCTAATTATTGGAGCTTTATTTCCATAAATGTTCAAAGGAAAACTGCCTGTGCAGCAGAGCAGTGCTTGACACTGCACTGTCTCCCATTTGTTGATGATCTGGTCTTAGGGCTCGACAGGTCACTGCTTTTTCTTGATGTGTAGTTTTTCTGACTGTACTGACATTATTAGCTCCTCTGAGTTCACAAAACTCCATTTAACCTTCGAGCAGATAATCTTGGCTTAAACAGTGAGACTCTTGTTGTCTTGAGTTCAGCAACAGGAGATCTTGGGGGTGTATTGCCTTTGTCAAGATGCATTAGATCAGTCAGTGAAGAGGGCCCTGAAGTCAGTCTCTGGACACAGCAACAAACTGGATAGATGGGGAAAAATACACTGGTAGCTTTCTTGTGTCTGGTCTGTTTGTTCTCTGTGCAATTTTGTTTGCTTTTCTCCCCTTGCAGCACCATTTTGCTTATCCTTTTACCTGGACCTGGTCAAGACCCCGACTGGAGCTTTAATTTGGTCTTTTTTAAAACCAATGGTGCTTGGGAAGATCCTTTTTACACCAGATACCCCAGCAACTCGAGCAATCATGAGGAAGGTATGGCTCTGTTCCAGGACATCAGGGTACAGCCACTCCAAAGGGTTGTAATTTATCTGGCACGGGCTTGTTTCTCTGAGAAGCACAGGCCTGCTTTCTCACTGTTTGGTGTATTAATCCAACTTTCTTTTTCTGGTTTCCTTGCTGATATATGAGTCATCTTTTGTCTTTGAATGAATCTTACCTCCAGAAAATTGCTGTTGGTCTAATATTTATAATACAATTTTTATAAGGCCTCCAGTTTAGGAAGTTTCACCCCCATATTTTCAACCAGTAAGAGAGGTATGTCTCCCAAGACAAATGCTCTAACCAGTGCTTGTTCACAAGGAGACCAGTAGAAGGAAAGCTGATATCCAAGACATGTTCTAAATGGCACTTACAGGGCTGTATTTTAAGTACTTGCATCAAATTCAGTGTGTTAAAGGGCATTTTGCCAAACAGGGATAGGATGCTAAGAAAAATCCTGAGGAAACCAAATTTGGTCTCAGCTGTTTTATTGATATATTTATTGATTAAAATCTGTAAGATAATGAATAAATTAATCCTTTATGTTGTGGGCTTCTTTTATAGTCTAATGCAACCCTGGAGCAGATGGCTGATCTAGCCCTGAAGTCCCAAGAGTGGCTGGACAAGTCTCCTATCATCATTAATTCCCTGGCTAAGTTAAACCAGACAGTTCCAATGATCAAGGTATGAGATCCTGCCTCCCCCATCTCTCTTGCCAGGAGGGAATTGGGAGGATGGATTCACTCACTGAAATGAACTGCAGTTCCATAGACATCTGAAGTCATGTGGGGAGGCCCTTCTCAGCCTTCTGTCCTGGACTTCCCAGTTCCTGTGCCTGCCTGTTCCCTTAACAGAAACACTCCTGACTCACCTTGCCATGCACATCCTCTGTCTCAAATAATCTGTTTGTAATATGCTCCCTGACACTGGCCATGCTGGGGCCTGCTGGAGGGCTGAGATGAGCAGGGAATGCTCTTCAGTTTGTAAATTAACTTTCTGCTTGATGGAGTGATCCAGCCAGCCAAGACCAGGCAAGAAATGACTTTTTCAGAAAATGAAACAGTATCTATAATAAGCATGTTGCTCTGGGTACACACATAAGAGCTGGAAGATGTTTTGTACCTCACTGAATGTAAATAAAATTTCTTTTTTCCCTCCTAAGGAGCCTAGCCTTGCTTGGATAGAGAAAGCAGTAGACTGTAATGTTACACACACTTGTTTCCCACTCTCTAGTAAAAATTGTCTCCTTTTCTTACAAACTGAGAAAATGAGATCCCTGAAAACCTAAAGCATTAGAAGTTAATTTCAGGGGCTGGAATTCGTTCTAATTTCCATGGCACCAAGAGAAAAATCCAGAGTGGAATATGCAAAAGTGAAATTAAATATCCTCTGCTGATTGCACTCGTTGGTAGAATAATGAAATATTCAGCCAAACGAAAATCTGTGCTGATCTCCAAGTTTAGTTTTGGTTGCCTACCCACTGTGCTCTGGCTTTGTTCACAGGACTTAAAACATACCCGAGGGATGTTTACTGCGCTTCTAGAACAATTTAGATTATCCATAGTTTTTTTTTCACGGGACTCTGGTACCTGGGGGAGACTCTGTAGGTGTCCTCTCTTGACTCCAAGAAGCACTAACTTGAACTCAAAGAACTCTGTATGACATTTTTGTTGCTAGCATTTCTCCATCCTGATACACTGAGTGAAGTATGGAAGGTCAGGAAAGGAGTAGGAGGGGGTTGTACAAATGCTCAGTGAAGTCTGCTACATTTTAGAAATACACTGAATAAGCTCAAGAGACTCCTTTTTTTTTTTTTCCTTGTTGATAGAACGCTCTGCAGAATCCCTTCGTGCAGGTTTTTATCAAGATGATGGTGGATTTGGATGCAGCTGAACTGCTGAGTCAGATAAATGAACTGGGTAAGTGTGTGTTCATATGTGCTGCCCTCTTTCTTCCTTGTGCTTCAAGTCTGGGAGCTCGAGGCATGAAACTGCAGCCATCCCATAGTACTGTTCTTCTCTGGCCAGTGTTGAATGCTCTACTGCAAGGCAATCTCAGCTCTGATCCAGGAATCTTGTGGTCTGTGGGAAAAGACTCTTAGAAAGCACGAGGCTTTGTGAAGAGATGTTTCTCCTGGGTGTTGAAGGGAGAGTGGGATGGGAGACTCTGCCTCTGTGTGTGGCCACTGGAGGACACTGTTTAGCCGTAATTACGACTTCAAATGAGTTACCTGGGACTGCTGGAAAATGTTGAGGACAGCTCACTTGCATTGCAACAAGGTTCAAGTTAAAAGTTCTCCAGAGCAGAACAGCAAGGGATCAGATAAAGGTACCCAGGCTGATGGAGCCAGAGGAGAAGCTGTGCTGGAATTTGCTGTTCTCATGTGGTCTTGCATGGTCCTTCAGTGTGGGAGTTGCTGATGTGCACTGTGAGACTCACCAGCTAACAGTGGTGGTGGATAGATCACCCCCTGAGAGTGCACAGCAGGGGGATCCCAGTCCCTTTCTCCCTGTCCTACTGTCCCTGCCTGCTCTTTCAATGGGTGGCTGTAAGTCTCAACATAAATCTAGGCTATGCCAGCAAAACCAGCAGCAGCCAAAAGTGGTTGTGGTCTCTTGCAGTCAGAAGGGCATTTACATCATGATGACCCCTGCATTAATCCATAAGTAACAATTCCTGTCTTAACTCCCCAAAAGCTGTGGTGCCAGCAGCAGCTGTTCCCTATTAGTTCCCTGCATTACACAGTCACCTTTGGAACCTGGCAGCAAACAGCAGTGTCTTCATTAACTGCATTATCAGGCTCAGTCCACACATCAGCACAGCACACACAGCTCTGCCTTGATGGGCTTGTGCTCCCCTGAGACACAGCAGCTCAACAGGTGAGGTGATTACACCCAGAACCATAAGATGTGGAAGGAATGGTGAGCATCATGTGTGAGTCTGAAACTCCAGCAGCTTAGGAGGGACTTGTGATTTGGGATGGCTGTCACATCCCACTGCTGGCATCCTCCCAAAGACAAACTCACGAGCATATTACAAATGATTAACATAAAAACTGGGTCAACAACATGCCTTCATTGCATTGCTGAGTGAAGAAATGTATTTTACACTTAATGTTTACTATGATGGGGAGTTTATTCTTCCTCTCTGGTGTCATCGTTAGTGTAAAGGGTGAAATGATGTTATGGATTTTTTGCTATTGTAGTGATGCTGATGGTTTTGTCTGTGGGGTTTTTTTCCAGATGATATTCGGCTGGAATTACAGAACAACACTGACATTGTTGATCAGCTGAACACTCTTGCTACCCTTGCTGTAAACGTGTCCTCCTGCGTTTCGTTTAATCGTGTGCAGGCAGTCAAGGACTTAGAGGAAATGGAAAGGGTGGCTAAGGAGCTCTTTCTGAAGAACGAGCTATTTGCAAGTATGTGACAGTCTCAAATCCCCTTGTAAATTAAATTCAGCCTGATAGAGGGTGGGAGTGCAGCGTAAGAAATCTGACTTTTCACCACAAACTGTTATGGTCACAGCTCCCACTGCACAGCAATTGATTTTGAGCCAGCCTGTGTGTGGGGCCTGCACCCTGAGACCACCTTATGGAGTGTTTTACACTCTCCTTTTTATAGCTCCTCTTCTCTTACATCTCTGGTCAACTGGTGGCTTCTCTTTGTTAATTCTCAGTTTGAACAAAATTCTGCTGCCCTAAGGAGATCTTCATGCAACTAATTTATTTCAAGGTTCCCTGGAAAAAGATGCTTTAATTGAGAAAGATATCATAGAATCATTGAGGCTGGAAAAGACCTTTAAGATCATCAAGTCCAAATATGAAACAGTTCAATTTATTAGGAAGCCATAAAGTGCTTGAGATATTCCAGCCAAGCACCATAATGTTATATTGGGTCTTCTCAGTCACACTTCACATTTGTAGGATTGGATTGCAGCTTCAGAGCAGACTGCAGAGAGCAGTGGAGGGAATAGGAACTTACATTAATTTGAATAATATAAATATATATTAATTTTTAAACAATGGCCAATATCTCCTCAATTAGGTTTTACTTATAATTCCTGTGACCTCTGGTTTTATACTTCATAACTGAGGAGTAGATAGAAACTTGCTTTTCTTGGAACTTCAAACCCTGATAATATTTGTCTGTTCCCATAAAAGCAGTTTTCTTCCCCCTTTGTCATCCATTCCATCCCATCATATGTTTTATGTATGGAATAATCAGGGAAGGTATTGTGGAGAGAAAAACTTCTGTGGTGTTGGCTCTACTCAAACAGACATTTTAAAGGCAAAAAATTTCCCGTCTGTCAAGCTGTACATAAATGCAATTTCCAAACAGGAACGTGCAAAGATTTTATAGTCTTACACCTCTCAGCTTTGTAGGAATTTGTTTGGGCCCAAAAATATGTGTGTAGGTCATCAACAATTGTCGGCACTGGGTTCCTAACTCTTTTGTGTTACAGCATCGAGACATGAGCTGTATTGATAGGGAGCACCTTTGGGCGTGGTCATGACAAGTGCCAGCCCATCTGAGCATTATTTGTGCAGCAAAGAAGTGAAATGTAGAAAAGGCTACAAAAATGATGAATTCCTACGTATCTGTGTGTACTGCTCCTGTGCTGTCAACTCCAAAGGAAAGCCTTTTCCCTTTCTCTTCCAAGGTATCATTTTCAGGCTGCCTTCAAGCCACAGCAGCCCTGGATCCTCAATTTCTGGGGCCTTGACTCTCCCTCCTGTGCTCAACTACACGATCCGAATGAGCAGCAGGATCACACAGACCACCAACAGGATACGGGAGCGCATCTGGACCGTGGGCCCACACAATTCCACCTCCCAGAGCCAGATCTACAGCCGGGCCTTTATTTATATCCAGGACAGCATTGAAAGGGCCATGATTGAATTACAGACTGGCAAGAAACCAGAGGAGATAGCTGTTCAAGTCCAGGCCATGCCTTACCCCTGCTACAACAAGGATATGTAAGTTTGGGTGGCTTTTGTCTTCATGCTTCTTGTGAGCTCATCTTGTCTGACCTATAAAAACGATTCTTGGTTTTGTTTTTTGGTTGGTGGGGCTTTTTTTTTTCCCCCAGAGGTTTGAACAGAAGAGGGAATTTTGGTCTTTAGTATAAATGGTCTATGTTTGGCTTGCCTAATCTTTTGCTTTCAGTGCTCTGTATGTACCTGGATTGTCATGGTAACTATAGGTTTTACAGGAGGTAACATTCCCTGTTCATGTTTTACTACCCATGGTGGAACTGAGAGTTGACAGGACTTGGGTTAAATATGAACATTGGCTTGTTCTGCAGGTGTTTACATGCAGATAATGCAGCAGAACTTAGAAAATGGATTTATTGGGAAAAAAGCATCCCTAGGTTTGTAAGCTTTGTTCCTAGAGATTGCTGTCCAGCTGTGATATTTGTTATTCATTCCAGTGATTCTGGATAACGTTCAGTGTACACTGAGTAACTCTCAATCAGGTGGTGCTCAGATGCTTTAAGGAGGATAAGAGGGAAGATAAGATTGTACCATCTCTCTGCAGTAATGAGGGAGGACAGAGAGGCTTTTGCTGCACTGAGTTGCTGGGTTAACAGCCTGTTAACAGAGCAGTGTAAGGACCAGAATAAGTTTTGGATGGTGAAGCAGATCAAAAAGTTTTGGATCATCTTCCTTTTCCTTCAACTTGAGCCAGATCTGCAGCCAGTATGAACAGCATCTCTGCCAAATGCAGTAGAGAGAAGCGAATCTCTCACAACTGAGGAGCTGCCCCTCTGGCAAGGCAGTTCTGGTCTGTGCGGGAAAGCTGGCAACATGGCACTGCCTCAGAGTTATTACCCTGACCACAGCTGGTGGCCAAACTGGGTGGAAAACATTTAGGGAAGGGATTTCAGTGTCTGTCAGAGAGCACTGAAGGATGTTCAGCAAGCTGTATCAGAAGGTTGGGTGGTTGCTGTGCCCTGTGCTTGGACCAAAAGTACAGACTGGACCTACAAGCAGTGTGTACTGAAAAGCCTCCATGTCAGCTGCATGAGCCAAAAGATTGTTTGAGAGCTATAAGGTGCCATTTAGGAGCTCTAGCAGAGCCATGAATATTCTGTCACAGCTGTCACTTAGGAGAGCTGGAGGCCTATAACCTCTTTGCGGGGTAGTTACAAGCAAAGTGCCCACAAGTGCAGGCAGGGAGCATCCAAACCAAGTTTTGCAGCAAATACCTGGATTATTGCTGAGAGAGAGTTTTGTACAGTGATTAACTGGCTGCTGGAAGCACTTACTACAGTGCTGTCTGCTCCTTTTCCTTGTTCTTGGCCTGCTGGGAAAATCTCTTGCCTTCAGGTTTCCCTCCCCACCCCAGGTTCAGAGGGACATGAGTTTGCTCAATTATTAAAATACCTAAAGGCTTTGGATTTGCATCCAGTAGAAGTCATCATAAAATGCCTGCTTATCAATTGTTATTGCACAGTTACCATCCTGTAGGGAAAAGGAAGAAATATAAATATACCAGTACACAGAAGGTGCTGGGAAATGCTGAATTTTTAATAACTAGAGATTATGCAGAAGGTGGTAGCAAAAAAAGAAACCCAAACAACAAAGAGCCAGTAGAGCTACTGAAGTGCCTTTTCATGGTTCTTTAAAAATAAGGCTTCATTTGCATGGAAGCATTTCTGGAAGCACAGGTTCATAGGAAATTTTCAACTTCACAGGTAAAAAAAAAATTAAAAACCAATGTAGTGTTAATTTTATACTGTTATTGCACATTAAGCTTTTTCCAGTAATGACACTGATTGTGTTTTTTAAACCAGGTTTAGAAATTAAGGAGGAAAGCATAGGCCCTGCAGATGCAATGAAGGGAATCTCCTGCTCTAAAAACTTGCTTTCCATCACAAAAGGACAAATTTATTGTTGGCCATTGTTGTCTTTTTTTTCTGCACACATTTGGCACTGGAAGAAGGTTTTAATTGAAGTGAGGAGCCAAGAAATGTCACCTGGATCCTCAAAACCTGTTCTTTGGGATAGTAGAACAGACACTTTGAAGGGAAGAATCTATACCAGGAAATATGGCCTGACAACAACATTTGGCCATTATATCTGTGTACAGAACTGGGAGTTGGGGCCGGTTGCTGTGATCTTCCAGATGGGATACAGCCCGTCAGAGAGCCAGGAGATGCCACTGCCCATGGCACTTTCTGCTCCTGCCAGTGGTGCTGCTGAGCTAAACTTCCAGACTGCATCAGGAAATCCCTCTGTAATTCAAAAAAAAAAAAAAAAAAAAAAAAGATTTTGGGCAGTCAGGGGTTTCATGAATAGAAAATCCAGTGCAATGCCAAAGGAGTCTTTTTTTTTTGGTAATTATTAATTTTACTCCATGTTTTGAAATCTAAGCATGTCTTTTCCTGTGCCAAAGTATTGTTCTGAAAAATATATTCTGTATAAAGCCTTAATCCCCAGAACATTTGGTATTCAGCTAAAGCCTGCATTTGCCTTTTACAGGTTCTTAACCAGTGTGACCTACTCTCTTCCATTTGCTCTGATGGCTGCCTGGGTGCTGTTTATAGCTGATTTTGTTAAAACACTTGTTCAAGAGAAAGATCTGAGGCTTTATGAGGTACAGTGAAACTTTCTGGGGCGTGCAAAATTATAAACAGATTTTCCTCATTAGTGGCTACTGTGTCTCATGTTCAGTATTAAATGGAGCAAAACAAGCATTAAGGAAAATAGTCCGAATACCTATTGTTTGACCTGCAGTGTTTGAATTCTGACATTGTAACCAAGCTCAAAGCCACAGAAACTCCCTTCAAGTGGAGGGAATATTGCTTTGCAGTTCTGAACAGTGGAAACATGAGCACCTCACAAAATTACAAGTTTTCTGAAGATTTAAAGCTCTCTAAAAATTGACTTTGAGTCATACCTACTGGAGACAAAGACATGAAAAGTGACTTATTTCCTATCCTTAAAGTTATTATACTTAATATTTCAGAAGGTGCTACATATGACATCAGCTCCTCTGAAATGAAGTTCTTCAGGTTGCCTGTTGGAAAAGAATTGACATTGAGACATAGGGAATTTATTAAATTAACTCAGGTTTTCAGTGTGATCACTGTCAACAGAGATGAACAGCAGAGAACTTTAGTAAAACTAAGCTTCAGCAAGCAACAAAAGCTCAAGCAGATTTGGGTTTTATCCGACACCATGGAAACAAATGCTGATTCACCAAAAACATTTCCCAAAAAGGGCACCTGTGATGAGATGGAAAATGAGTGAATCCCGGGGGCTCCCTGGCAGCCCCTTACTCAAGTTTAGGGAACCATTTTCCCCATCTCTAAGGACCAGGGTGTCAGTCATCTTTTTAGCTATGTAATAATCTACAAGAAGACACTAGCACCTGTACATTCTTTTGGATTTATCAATACAAATTTGCAGTTTTATGCAAGTCCTGGGGACTTGATCATCAGCTAATTTAATAACTTAGTATTGCTTCCTTGTAACCATGGTAATTCGGCTATTATTTGTTGAATTGGGGTTGTGTAAGAAATGGTTTGGTGAGAGCTTTTACACTCAAGCCACTGGACCAATTAGGATAATTTAAAAAAAAAAAACCAAAATGCTTTAGAAAAGTTACAAACTGAGGCCAGAAGCTGCTTTGGAGCTTGTGAGCTGTGACAGTTGATACTTGCAGATCCTGTCTGTGCTGTTCTTTTGCAATAGACTACTTTGCAAACCTTGGGCATTCCAGGAATGTGAGTGCGTGGTTTCTCCCTGGATAGAAACACACTGAGATGGCAAAGTGGGAAAGAGCATGGTCTGGTTGCTGAAAAAGCAAATCATTTAATGTCAGCAGAAAGATATCTTCATTTCTCCCAAATGTCTTTTGTGGTTGTTTTTTCCACCTTTCTCTCTGTAGTACATGAAGATGATGGGCGTTAATGCCAGCAGCCATTTCATCGCCTGGTTCGTGGAGTGTGCCATCTTCCTTCTGATCACTGTCACCTTCCTCATTATTGTTCTAAAAGTGGGTGACATCCTACCCAAAACAAACACAACACTCCTGTTCCTGTACCTCATGGACTACAGCCTGTCCATCATAGCCATGAGCTACTTCATCAGTGTTTTCTTCAACAACACCAACATAGCAGCCTTGGTGGGCAGCCTCGTGTACATCCTCACCTTCTTTCCCTTCATCGTGCTGCTCGTCATCGAGAATCACTTGAGCTTCTCTGTGAAGAGCCTCCTGGTAAGTTCTGCTTTTCCATAATGTTCCTAGCCATGGAAGTGGATGTAAAGCCTTGTTTCTTACCAAGGGTCAGTATAGCTAGGTATTGGGTTTCAGAAGTTAGACTTGTTTTCTCTGAGTCACCAGATTCAGGAAAGGTCATCTATTAATGCAAGCGGTGGAATAATTAACCACATGGCACAAGAAGGGAATTCTCAAGCAGTGCTCTATTTCAAAAGCCAGAAGTAAAACCCTGCATGAGGGAGGAAGTTGGGTCCTGAGTATGGAAGCAAAAGAAGGTCAGGCTCTAAGGAGATGTTACAGCCTGTCACCAGTAGTACTTCTCATCATAAGGCTGGTCCAGCGCTCTTTGTGACTGTTGGGAAACAAATTCTACTCATTTTCCTGGCTAATGAGGAACCTGATTGATTACCTGACTTGACTTGTCTTTGAGACTAATTCATAAAATCTTTGTTTTCAATTTTGTTTATTCCCCAGAGCCTGTTGTCCCCAACCGCCTTCAGTTATGCAAGTCAATACATTGCTCGCTACGAGGCACAGGGCATAGGTATGCTTATTGTAGACAAAACTAGACCTTGAGCTCCCCTGGTGGGGACATTTCATTGGCTAACACGGATTCTGACTGTATTTCCCAATTCCTTTCTGCAGGTCTGCAGTGGGACAACATGTATAAGTCCCCCATGATTGGAGACAACACTTCCTTTGGCTGGATGTGCTGGCTCATTCTGATAGACTCCTTCATTTACTTCATCCTGGGGTGGTATATAAGGAATGTTTTCCCAGGTAAGGATAAAAAGCATTGAGGGTGGTGCTGTACCATCTCTTTTGGAAAACAATACACACAGCAATGGCTGATTCAGTGGTTCAGGCAGTGAGACAGTCTGCACACACAGGATACCTCTGTCCTAGATCAAAGAGAGCATGACTTAGTGGATGTCTGAGCTGTTAATGACACCGAGGCAGAGCAGAGCAGGGGAGAATTAGGGTTCCTCAGCTTATCACATGGGTAGGTGGGTCTCCTGAGAAGCTGAAGCCAAGGACACAAGAGGATGCATTTGCAGTCTGGTGGGTGAGAATGAGAACAGAGCACATTGGCCTGCATTTGTCAGCTGAGTGATTTTGAGTTGTGTTACTTACATCATTTGATTTCAAAAAGTGATTCCTGCCTTGGGCAAGAGCCAGTACATTTGTCTTCTGCTTTTCTTCCCCACCTAATGAAGCAGTCCACTGGCATAAGGAAATCTACCCAGTGGAAAACGTATAGTACTCCTGCCCTCCAGCTATGGAGTTACTCAGAATAACAAAATAGGGAGTGCTTCCTGCTGTGCCAATCAGGCAAACTCTCTACCAAGTCTCAGTAGCACATAAGCACATCAAGAGGGGAGAGAGATCTCTGTGAAGTTCATTTTGGTTATTTTGAGTGCACCCCAAATAGTGATACTTCCTGGGGAACAGACACCTGGATGAGACTCCTCTTCTTGCAGGTAGATATGGCATGGCTGCTCCCTGGTATTTCCCATTGCTTCCATCTTACTGGATCGAATACAACGGTTACCTCCCCTTCTGGAATGAGAAACAGAGAGGCCTTCTCTTCTCCAAGCTGATGCTAAGGAAAGAAGTCACCCTCAACAATAAGATATGTATGTGGATACTACATGGGGTAGCAATAATAACTTATATTTTAGGTAAACAGAGACGAATTTCTAAGGGGGCACCATACTCAGAAAACACATTTGTTTGTTGATCCTTATTTTGTAGCACAGGAAAAATTGGAAACTGATACTTACATGAATGGAGATTTGGCTTTTAAATTATATTTTTTCTTCCTATTTTGGTGTGGAGATCCAGTACTGCTTGTCCCATGCATATTCATGTATGTTGTAGTTGGGCAGTTACCTTACATGCTTATCTCTGTCTGCAACACTCTGTGTAGAAATACACTTTTGTTTGTGCAAGCAAATACGGGTTTCCACTTGGCAAATGGGATGTGTGCTTCTTTGTTCATCTCTTTAAATGTTTAGCTCAAAATATTGTGAGCTCACACAGAAAAGCTTTTTTGGTTGTACCCAACTGAAAATACCTCAGCAGTTTTGCTGTATGTCCTCTAATTTTCTGTGCTTGCTTAGTGTAAATTAAGTTAGGTGCTCTGAAACACCTAGATATGAGACCTTTTCAGAAGTGATTAATGCCTATTGTCAGGAGTGATTAGAAGCTGCAGAAGTAAAAAGGAGAAATGCCAGAGAGCTCAAAATGATACAGATCCGGTGACATGTTCTCAATGTTCCTGGATGAAAGGCACCTGCCTTGGCTGTATTTTGGTTTTAAAAGCCCTGCTTATCTCTGGGGTGAGAAAAGTAGCACAAAGAGCTGCTGCAGTGCAGTAACTGACCTCTGCCCCTTCTCTTCGATGTCAAAGGTGCCCCCCAGCCTCACATGGAACCGGAGCCCACTGATCTCCCCTTGGGAGTCTCTCTGCATGGCATAACCAAGGTTTATGGATCCAAAGCTGCAGTGGACAACCTCAGCCTCAACTTCTATGAAGGGAATATCACTTCCCTGCTGGGTCACAATGGAGCTGGGAAAACTACAACCATGTGCGTGCCCTTTAAAGCAGCTCTTTTCTATACTGTGGAGTGTGAGTGGATGAAGGAGAGAGCAAGTGGGGCTGGGCAGTGATGGGAGACTGAGAAAGTTACTGTATTAGACCAAATCACTCATGTAGTTTTATCTGGCTCATGGATGACCTCGGGAGTTCCTGTATCTGTTTGAATTCTTCAGATTCTAAAAGATTCTTTGCTCCTTAGGGACACGCTTTTTAATCTCGTGAGACACCTGTAATACCCAGCACAGCAAGTACTCAGGTGTTTTGTTCCATGGCACTTTGGTGCCTGGGGTTAGGCTGTTCTGGATGCTGTGGGTAGCTTGTGCACACACCAAAGCTGAAGTGATACTAGCAGGAAAACTTAATAAAGATACACTTCAACTGTAGAGGCTCATGTGTTGGCTGGGCTGGAATGGCAGGGGATTAATGCATTGGCCTTTCAGCCTTGCTGTTTATAAATTATTATTTGACTTGTTAGATAACAGCACTGAAACAGACCTGTAGAACTTGATTTCTCCACTGATATATATGTGCATATCTCTGAAAGCAACATTAAGCTGATAAATAGAAGCCTCAGAAGAGCCAAAACCAGTAAGACAGATGTGTGCTTCATCTCAGCTTATTATCAATTCATCTCATATTCTGTTTGCAAAGTGTAGGCAAAGGTGATATGCAGAAAAGTATAAAACCTTCTTGAAACTTTTAGTGCAGGCTTCAAATCCCGAGTAAGGTCACAAGTTACTGCTTTTTAATGATGGTTAAAAGTCCCAGGAGAGAGAGAAGCTCTGGGAAGGTGAAGGGCAGTCTGACATGCATCTTGTCCCTGTAGTCCCTCCAGGACAGCTCCAAAAATGAGCTGTAATGTGCAAGTAGCTATTCTGAGCAGAGGGTGTTTTGACTCAGGTCTGTTGGCCATTTCTCAGTGGGTAATTATTTGGTTGAACTAGATGAAAGTGCTGCCCACTGTGAGGTGTCTTGTCTGAAAGTCCTCTCCCGTTTCTCATTAGTAATGGCAGTGAAACCAGTCTTCCACCTCTGATGTGGTTCGTAAATGAAGAGGTGGGTTTCAGTCTCAGTTGTGGTTACAGTATAAGGCTGTATGGGTGCTGCAGGCAAACCTCAAAGAATGGAGTGTAACTGCATTGTGTGAATCCCAGTAATTACACTGGAAGTTGAGGGCATTCGTGAGTGTTGGTGCATGGAATATGCAGTGGTCTGAGTAGGGAGAGGAAGGCTGAAGAAAATAGAAGTGAGAAGTGGCCAGGGTTCAGTGGGTGAGCTTGGTGCTTGCCCTCACATTCCCACAGAAGGATACAGGGATGTCCATGGATGTTAATGGGACGCTACTCTGCCCCTCACCATATGGTGAGGCAGCAGGAGACACAGTGGGCAGTGGCCTCCTGCTGGAAGGAGAGTGGGATGGTGATACAAGGAAACCTTGAAAGTGATGACAGGTGCAGGACCACGTGAAAAAAATTACCTATGGTTTTCTCCTTTTTCTAACTCCCCTCTGTCTCTGTTTTTCCTTTAGATCTATTTTGACTGGATTGTTCCCTACGTCGTCAGGTACTATCTTTGTGTGTGGCAAAGACATCAGGACTGACCAGGAGGTCATCAGGAAGAACATGGGGGTGTGTATGCAGCACAACGTGCTCTTTAACTACCTCACCACGAAGGAACACCTGCTGCTCTACGGGTACATCAAAGTCCCTCACTGGAGTAAAGAGGAGCTCTACCAAGAAGTGAAGAGGTATAAAAACAGCAGAGTTGGAGAAGAGAGAGAAATTGTTGTGTGGTAGTGTCAGTGTCACTGCAAAGCACAAATTAATGGATTTGAGGAGAGTTGCAGATCCAGTTTAAGGTTCAAATGATACCTTGGTCTGACTACAGGAATATATTGATACCTGTGGCTGTAAGAAAACAGTGTCTCCTCTCCAGGAGGTTTACAAGCTTCTGTGGTAATTCTTTGGAGATGAATTTATAGGGGTAAGGGTCTAGTCCTTGCTGCTTTACAGTTTTCCTCTGAAAAAGATTTAATCAACCAGTCAGAAAGATGATGTTGGCTTTATTGGTTCTGCAGAGAAGTGAAGCAGCCAGAACATCCCAGGGAGTTTGAATCTTGATGTCTCAGTTGATGGGGTTGAGCCTTTAACCTTGACTTGTCAGATGGAAACTTTGAAAACATCCTAAAAAATGTTTTAAATTAAAATCCCGATGACTGAGCTACAGGGTGACTCGTCTCCCTGCTCTGTGATCACTCAGTAGAGCAGACTATATTTGAGCAGTTTTTCATTTGCAGTTATGGGGTTTTTTTGGGTATTTTCAGATTCCCTGCTTTCTAAAGATGCCTGAAGGACAACCTTTCGGGGTTGTTTTTCCTTTGTTTTCAAGGACCTTGAAGGAGACTGGGCTGTACAGCCACCGTCACAAGCTGGCTGGCACTCTGTCCGGGGGGATGAAGAGGAAGTTATCCATAGCCATTGCTCTCCTGGGTGGATCAAGGGTGGTGATACTTGATGAACCAACCACAGGGGTTGATCCATGCTCCCGGAGGAGTATTTGGGAAATTATCTCCAAGAACAAAAAAGGTACCTTGATTAAATGAGATGCTGCCCAGTGGCGAGGGGACTTTGTGTCACTTTTGCAAATACGGGATCAGTGGCTTTGAACTGTGGGTTTTGGAGAGCACAGAGAAAGAACTGTGGGAGACTGGGATTTTGCAGGTCTGGAGGGTGCATCCTGGTTGGTTTCTGTAAATTCAGTGCCATTTGAAAAGTAACTTTACCATTACACGCAATTTACAATACAGTAACTTTCAGCTTTTCTCTGCTGTCACCTTTCATCCAATATGACTAATAATTACAAAAAAATGCAGTTGATTTTCATCTGATACTCAGTGTCCCCTCACTCATCAAGGCTCCCACCTGTCTCAGGTAACCACGTGTGTTCATTCTGTGGTGGCTGACATCAGCCTTGTGTTTTCCAGGCAGAACCATCATTCTCTCAACACATCACTTGGATGAAGCCGAAGTTCTAAGCGACCGAATCGCCTTCCTAGAGCATGGAGGGCTTAAATGCTGTGGTTCACCTTTCTACCTCAAGGAAACCTTTGGTGATGGATACCATCTGACACTCACCAAAAAGAAGGTTTGTGTCTGAGCTGGTCTTAGAGCTGGAGTTCTGTCTCTGAGGGAACCATCCAGGCTTGTTGAGGGATGTAGGCACTTAGAGCTGTACTGACAGGAGCTGAGTGACAGATCCAAGGATAGCAGTACCAAAGAGCTGTTGAGGATCTGGATGTGGGCATGCTGCTTCTCAGTGAGAGATGCCCACAGAACATGTGTCCCTGCTTTCCTCAAAGCAGAGGGAGGCTCTCCAGCAAGGCCACCGGAACAGCCTCCATGGCCCTTGGAAACAGGAACATCAGTGCTCTGCTTTGTTGAAAAAGAACGGGGTCTCCTTGAATGTTAAAGCCAAGGCTGGATGCAGACTGTGAACTCTGGAGTTCAGGGGAATAAAGCAGATGGAAGGTGTCCATCCACACTGTCTGGCCTGAGGCAAAGTGTTCTGCTTGCAAGAAGTGAGGAACTTTGCTCTTGACAGTGTTCATTAGAGTGCTGTTGGTGGGCCCAGCACACAGAATAATGAGCAGATACCATGGGAGACCAGTCCCTCTTCCAAATTGCTGGCAGTAGAGATAGAGAAAAGGAAGAAAGACCCATGTGCAAGCCTTGTTTCTCTTGGGAAAGAGAGTGTGTGTATGCTGGCAGCCAAGCTCAGGTGGCAGCTCCCTGGTGGCCAGGCTTTTTCTGTGTTGTACCACAAATGCTCGAGCCAGTGCAGAGTGGTTGATTGAGCCCGACCTCAATCCCTGTAGGCAGAGCAAGGTTTTGGATGGACCAAGATGGGCTCAGTGCCACACATCCCTTTTCAAGGGACAGAAACCCCCTGTCATCTGCTTTTGCTATTTACCTTGGAGTGTTGAGTACCTGGTCTGAGATCACTTCTGGATTATGCTCTGGGACAGGATTTGGGCTACATCCTGCAGGAGGAAGTTTGACCTCATAGCCCTCTCAGTGACCACAGATTGTTTTCCTTTTTCAGAACATGATAGAGGAGTGTGACACCTCAGCAGTGACCTCCTTGATCCAGTCCCATCTTCCAGAGGCTTATCTCAAGGAGGATATTGGTGGAGAGCTCGTGTATGTGCTTCCCCCCTTCAAGTCCACGGTCTCAGGGGCCTACCAGGCACTTCTCAGAGCCCTGGACAGCAGCTTGAATGATCTGCACCTTGGCTGCTACGGGATTTCAAACACGACTGTGGAAGAGGTATGAGCTCAGGATCCACTGGATGTAAAGAAATGTTATGGAGATTAATTTCACAGCTCTGCTGTAGCTCTGCTTCCTGGGCTAGATGGTGGCACATTTTGGATGTGGGAGTTTCAGGTAGGGAAGAAATGGTTTGGTTGTACAGCGAGTTACACTTAGGAACACATGAGTGTGTAGGTGTATCCATAAATCTCTATATATACTAATGCACAGTTTGCCACTGTCTCACCTTGCTAACAGCTCAAAAAATGAGATACTGGAGTTAGACTAAGGAGAGAGGGCAATGATGTGTTTCCCCTGGAAGTATTCTCCTGGCCTCCATGCCTCTGGAGATGGGAAGGAGTCAGCAAACCATCTAAATGATGGACTTAGGCATGAATGCTGAAATCACTGTGTTGTACAAGTGAGTCACCTGGTGCATCTTAGCACAGGCATCTTTCTTCCCATGGGAAATCTTTGGTCAAATAAACACATTTAATTGCATCAGAAACAAAAAGTAAATTATGAGCAGTGATGACCCTTGTCTTGCAGAAAGGAAGAAGGGAGATTGTTACGTTTCTACTCAGAAATGGTTTCTTGCTTTTCAGGTGTTTTCCCTAGGCAGCAAGAATAAGTTATACATCATGTACCATGTGCAGCTTGGGTGCCATGGCTGCACAGTCCCAGCCAGGAGGCAGTGGGGCTGCTAGAGGCTAGAGGGGAAAGTATTCCATGGAAACAGCTCTCCCTGTTTCTTCCCTGGTGCCATGCAGAGAACTTCTGCGTGCTGCTCACTGTGTGGGTGTGGAGGGAGTAGGGTTATGTAGGGCCTGAGATGAAGTGTAGCCTTGTTCACAGCTACTCACTGGCCACAGAGCAGGTGGTTCTAGGACAAGGTGAGTCCAGGGGGCAGCTGCAAAGGTTTGAGTTTCCACTGCTGCAGCAGAAGAGAGACAGGAGGTGACAGGGAGCTGGACAACAATTTTACACTGATAAAAACAGAGCACAAATGGAATAGAAAGAGGATTGTAATGCACAATCGCTGCACCAACTACAGCTATGAAGCAGAAGAGTGGATTCTGGTTATTGTTTTGGTAAATGGAGTCATTTGGACAAATTTTCCTTCATATTTTCTTGCTCTAGGTGTTTCTCAATCTGACAAAAGAGCTGGTAAAGGACCAGCAAGAATATGCTGCACTGCCCCACCAGCTGCCTGGAGCCAATGGTCACAGTGGCAGTGACGGAATGTCTGTGAGCACAGACACCTTCACAGACAGAGACGGTACTCAATTACCTCCGGGTTTTATTCCAGATCTATCACAGATGCAAACAGTGACAGAAGGACTGATTTGAGCTCCCTGTCTTCTTTCTTTGTTGAAAACCACATTTCATCCAGCCAGGAATCAGAAAACCAATAAATCACTGGAAATACAGCACTCATCAGTTTTTTAGATCCCCTGGTTTGGAACAGTCTGAATCACAGGATAAATTACAGAGGGGTTTTGTTTGCATCTGCCTTCCTTTAAATTGATCCAGGTTTTAAGCTAATCAAATACAGCGTGTGGGTGAAAGAGTAAATGTGTACCTCTGAAAGTAATTGCTGTAATAGATGTAGCAGATTATTTCTCCATAAGTAGCAGAATTGGAAAGAAACTTTGTGGAAACCCCTTAGTCTGTTGGAAAAGCAGCACAGCTCTGAGCTGGCTCCTTCTTGCTACTTTTTGCTGTGTCCCAGATGTTGCTGTATGGTAAAGGAGCCCAAAGGACCAGACAGTGCAATAAATTCACATTCAGAAGAGGATCAAGCTACACCACTGTCCCTGAGGGCTTGAGAGCTGCTAAAGGTGGCACAACCCCAAAATGGCCAAATACCTGGTTGAAATGCTTTCTTGGGGTAGAAACATTTTTTTTACTTAACATCATTTATAGTTAGGGAGGCATCCAAAGGGCAACTAAGAGGTGTTTTTGTACTCAGTTCTCAAAGCTGACCTGCACTGTAAATGTTACTGTAAACAGTCATTCACAGGTGTAGAGAAGTGTTTTGTGTCACCCTTAAACAGAAGATTGAAGGATTTGCTTCATGTTGTATTATATAGGTTAATATTTCATGAAGAGGAATAGGTTGCACAGGATTTGGCTCTGCTTTCAGCATACCACAAAATCTGTCCATGCGCAAGGTCAAGTGGTTTGTGCTTGTTTTCTTATTTCAGGATTAATTCTGTTATAGATTTGTCTGAGGACTTGTTTTTTAAATGATGAAAAATTTCAGTTTGTAAATCCAAGAACAATATGCTTCCCCTGTAAGCTGTAGCTGGGTAGGAAGGATGTAGATAACTTAGAGCATCTGGAAGCCTGTATTTCTCTTGCAAGATCCCAAACTGAAAATCAGTACATGTACACATTTGAAATGAAATAGAAAGACTGGTGTTACATGAGCTTAAGACTCAAGCCAGAATCTGAGTCCTGTCCCAAGCCTGACCCTGTGCATGTTCCAGCTTAGTAGTTTTGATTTTTCATCTTTAAAGGTGTGCGGGAAGAGAAATGTACTCCCAGAGTACTATAACCATCAGTTCCCTGCACTGCACAAATACTGATCCATGTCAAAACTCCTTCCTTTGTACCCAGATCAGCTCCTGATCAGATCCAAAAGCCTGCAGGGTTTGCCACTGCTGCTGAAGAAGACTTCAGCTTTGTTCATCAAGAGATTCCACCACACCCGGCGGGATGTCAGAGGCTTCATCGCTCAGGTCATCCTCCCAGTCCTCTTCGTGATGGCTGCCATGGGACTTGGGACCCTGAGAACCAAGGAGACTGAATATCCCGAGCTCCTGCTGTCCCCCTCTCTGTATGGCACATCTGACCAGGCAGACTTCTTTGGGTGAGTGGTGGTCTTGGTGCCTCCTAAACACATTGGGTTACAACGAGCCAGATTTGCCTTCAGGATTATTTCTAAGCATAGCCAGTGGAGACGTGTTAGTGTAGTTATGTTATGCAGTTATGTAGAAATCCTGTCCTAAGGGATCTCTGGGGCAGATGGCTTGGTTCAGACCAGCAATTAAAAAGCTCCAGGAGAACAACCTCTCAGTTGGAATTAACTATGAAATGTGTGAGGAATATTCTTGGTGTTTCCATTGGAGTCCTCTGACCCTTTGACAGCCATAGGGATTGTCTTAATATATACACACTCTTGCCCCAATGAGAAATGGAGGTCCCTGCGTCAGTTGTCTCCAACATTACAACTCTGGTATTAAAATTCTATCCATCCTGTGAGCTGTCTGCATCACCCTCCTCTCTGTCAGTACAGAACGTGCTTTCCTGCCTAGGCCCTGCTAGACCAAGCCACAGAGGCAATTTGAAGAGCATGTGCTTCTCCAGTGTCATTAAGATGTCACCATTGAATTACTTCATTGTGCTTAAAAATCCTATTACCAAAATGATTATATTTTGTATCATCCTGTTTTTGTGTTGTGAACTTCTTTCTTTCTCCAGTGGTTCTCAGCTCTAAGTCAGAAATATAAAATTTAGCTCTAAAGCAAGTGTGCCTGCTCTAGATGTCCTTTCTCAGGACTGCTCATGCCTTTCTACTTCAATCCTGCTAGATGGGGGAGTGAGCCAGAGCTGCATGTCTGAGTCCTCTGTTCCTAATGTTCCCAGCTTTTCCTGATGGATCATTGCTAGAGAGCTGGGGCAGAACCAAGGAGCTTCATGAATGACCAAAGCCAAATGGGTGTCACAGAGGAGAGAACTGATTGAGACAAGGCTGGAAGTAGTGCCTGCAAATTGCAGTAGTTGCATTTTCCCTGGAAATAGAATCTTGATTGTCCAAAAGTTCATCAGTATCTTGCTTGGATCTAGAGGTACTGGAATAGCTCCAGGTGTTGGGCAATCCTTTTAACCAGTGTGACTGTCCTCATGTACTGCATGTACTTCAGTGATGTTTCCACAAATATTTATTGAACACCTTAAATAAATCCTGTTTCATTCAAACAATTTTCTTCTGCTTAGTAATAGTGGAAGTTCTTTGAACCTTTTCCTATTGTCTTTTTTCTTTGTAAAATCTTAGGAATTTTAATGAGACCACAAGTGCTTTAGTTGCTTCGATGCTTGCTTTCCCTGGAACGGATAACACGTGCATGAACGAAAGCAATTCGTAAGTAGTTGTTGGGCTTTTTCCCACTTAAACTCCAAATCTGCAAGGTAATTGGCATGACATTATTAGCCATTAGACCTTAATAACCATCTTTGATCATCTCCAGAATTTTCATGCATTGGTGCCACCTGCAGAGGAAAGGCTCTGCCTGTCTCCAGCTTGGCTTGCAGACTCTTTCAGCTCCTTAGGAGGGGCTCACTGGCCATTTGCTTGTGCTCTCACAGGCTGAGGCTGGTGGGATGTGAGTGAGCTGTGAGCAGGGAGCTATGTAGACCTGGTTGGTGTAAAGCAGGCCTCAGCCCTGCTGAGAGCTTGGAGTGAAGGCATGAGTCTGCCAGCCCAGAACTGTAGATGTTCTTAAAGACAGGAAACTACACTGTGCTTTAAGGAGTTCCACATGGCCCCAGGACCCTGACACTGGTGTTCTTTGCTTGCCTCAAGTATTCACCACCACAAGTGGACTCCTTTATTGCTATGAATAGCAAGGAAGCAGCTTTGGTGGTGGCAGGATGCCAGGATGAATCAAGCAATGCTTATTTCTGGGAAGTGGTCCTAGCTGTCCCAATAATACCACTTATATTGTGAGCCCACACAGCAAGTTCTCAGCAGAGCTTTGGTTACCTCTATCTAAAAGCTGTCCCATGAAGGCTTGTTCATTTTGGGCTCTGCAGATAAATTCTCAAGGAACTAGTAGTAAGATCCTGGGCAGACTTGCATGCTTGTGTGTGCCACGTATCTGCTGGCAAATATTTATCCTGGGAATTTACAGTGACAGCCTGGGCAATAGAGTCCATCACAGAACTGCCCAGCTATTGCCAGGACAACAGCCCTTATTTCTGGGCTCTTTTAGGATGCTTTTGGCCTTTGTGTGCCAACTCCTTGCACTGTCTACTGTGGGGAAAGTGGTGTCTGGATTCTTTCTGAGCAATTGAGCGAATCCAGGCACAGGGAGCAGCGAGGGCTCTCTGCCGAGAGGCATGGCAGCAGGAGGAGGGGTATTCCCTGAAGTGCCCAGAGCTGACAAGGAGGTCTGCTTTACTGCTGAAACTGCTCAACTGGCAGCCTCGCTGTCATTAAACATGACAGCAATTAGCTTCGTTTGCACACCTGAGCATGGAGAGCCTCAGAGGAAAATGTGTTCGTTTTCAGGCAGTGTTTGACAGAGGACATGCTTGGCCAGTGGATTACCAGTGGAGACCAGGGAACTAAGTATTCTGCCTGCAAATGCACAAATGGCATCCAGGTAATTTGGATAAACCCAAAAGTGAGGGGGCTTGGGGGGATTTTTGGGGGGCCTTGTATGTTGGGAGTGGTTTTATGGGCAGGCATGATGCTAAGGGTGACTCAGCGTTCAGAATCCTCCTGTCTCTCTTTGGCCTTTTTCATTTTGTACACTTGATAACCACTGTCTGCACCAACTTGGGGCCAGGAAAGGAAGTGGCATCCTCATAAGATTCACACTCTAATGTACCTGCCTCACTCCCCATGGTGGAAAAAGGTTTAATGGTGTTTTTGAATGTCGTTTGATTGTCCCATTTAGCAGAGGTGAGTGTGTATTCAAGAGGAAAATTTCATCTTATACAAGCACTGTCATTATATAAAAGCACAGCTATTATTGCTGCTTGCTCTTCAGAATTTAACTTTATGCAAAGTCTTGATCTGCTCCTTGTTATAAAAAATTATGATTAATAATATTAATTATTTTCATTATGATGGTACATACAGAGCCAGATAAGGGCACTGCTGGGCTTAGTGGGGAAGAGGCAGATTCTGCCCCAAGGGTGTTACAGTTTTACAGTTCAGTTTGGGGTTGAGCTCTCCTCCCTCCAGTGCTGTTCACCTGTCTTCAGCTTTTTTCTAGTAGAAAATCAGACTTGTGGCACAGTGTGAAGCTATTTGTAAGATAAAGGATGTACTTAGTTGAACATTCTTAGTCATTCTTTAAAATGCAGCTATTTTCTGCAGTTTTCTGGACGTACACTTAATTTCACATCATTAAAAGTATTGGCATAATTTCTCCAGTAAGTCAGGATAATGTTCAAAGCTGATTCTCACCTCCAGTGGGCACAGGCAGGTGTTCCTCAGCATGGGGGAAACTGTTCTATGTATTCTGATGAACACATGCACAATGGGGGAGTGCAGGGCTTTTGTTATGGATGAGCTGAAGGAAACAGCCAGCGTGCTGTCTGGTAGGACACTTCAACCTCATGAAACAGTCCATGTGACTTTGACCCTCACCATATTAAATTATATATTCAGAACTAATTCAAGGTTTCTCTGAAGCCCAGGAAAACTTTCTCAGTGACTGACATTAAAGCAGAAATGTACAGTGTAGCTGCTGTGAAATGGAAGATGAGAGTTTGAGGCCACCACAGTTTTCTGCTCTGTGAGTTGTTTTGCCCTCTGCAGTTGTCTGTGGAGTCACTCTGCTAAGTAGGATCAGCTTTAATTCAGCCAGAATCTTCGTGCATAGCATGAAGTACATTTCAAGGTCTCACTGATGTCAGTAGAACTGAAGTGTAGATTTAAGCCAAGGTTGTTTATAAGCACCTCCCTAAACATGCTGGGGACAGTATGCAGGGATGTGTGCTGTGTGTGCACACTGCTTTCTGAAAGATCAGCTTCTGTAGGAATCAGTCTCAGGGCCAGAATGTTGCCATTGCCTGCTCTCAATCCTGTCCTGATATGGTAATTTTTAGTTAAAACGCAAACACTAACATTTTTCTTCATTTGTCTCTGCTCAGACATGTCCACAGATGAACTACACTCCCCCTCACAGAAGGACCTTCTCCACACGGACACTTTACAACCTTACAGGGCACAATGTGGAGACCTATATCCTGGCAACCACCAAAGACTTCCTGCAGAAACGGTACGGCACAAACCTCCAGTCCCTCTCTGAACTGCACTGGGAGCAACCTCCTACACCTGTCATGTCCCTGTGCTTGGAGAGGTGACAGTGCAGTGGGTGTTAGAAAGGCCTCTCTGGGAATCTGGTGAAGGGAGGAAAAGTGTCCTGCAATCGAGGAATTAAAGGCAAGTGCTCTGCTTGATCATAGCAGAGGTAGCCCAGGGATAACGTGTCAATCACTGGATATGTTGGGGCTGGATCTGCAGACAAGGCTTTGTCTGACTCAGAAATCTTTAAAAAGAGGAAAATCTGACTCAGCCTGTCATGAAGTAAACCCTGGGGAGAGACTTTCCTCCAAGTTTGAGTCTCTGAAGAGCCTCGGTGTGTGCCTCACTTGAACAGGCACAACCATTCCAGTGAAAGCAAAGGCTGAATGTTGCCTTGTGCCACGGGGCTGTTGGAGCTGTTAGTGTGTCTGGACTCTGCCACACAGCTGCACAGCAGGGCTTGGGGCAAAAGTAACCTGTCACTAAGGTTGTCAAGGAGTGTGTTCATCTGCCACTGACAAACTGAGCTGTACACCTCCTGGGTAAGAAGCAGTCATCTTACTCCAGTGTGGCAGGCACACAGGTTAGGAGTCCACACAGTTCCAGAATCTCAAAGGGAGGCTTTCAGCACAGTTTTGTGATTGTGTTGCCAAGTTTGTTTCTCTTCCCCCCCCCAAAAAGGGTTCCTGCAGCAGTGGTGGCTTGGCCCTACACTGGGATAAGTTCTTTCAAGTCAAGCTGGAATTCCCTGGGGTGGCAGTGGCATGTTGGCATGCACCAGCCAAGGGGATTAGAGTGTTTAGATAAGGGTAACAATGCATCTTCCTCTGGTTTTCACCCAGGTATGGTGGCTGGAGCTTTGGGCTGCCTTTGACATCAGATCTCCAGTTTGATATCAAGCCAGTGCCCCCCAACAGAACACTGACCAAGGTAACTAATCTCCATCTCTCTTCCTGGCATGAGGAGTGTGGGATCCAGGGGAAGTGATGTTGAATTCATGGATATTACAGAAAAGAAAGAGCAACCTCCTGAAATCCGCAGCTTGGCATGACAGAGATGACTTGCAATTCATTTCCTTTTCTTTCCCCATTCTTCTTTATTGGTCTGGCTTCTCTTGCTAGCAGGAGGCAATTTTTCTGCTGTCATAATTTTATTACACAGAGGTGAAGAGATCAATTAGTAGCACCTTTATCTCATGAGGGGATGTATGTACTGTAGCGAGGGCTGGCTGGTGCATTCTGATATGCCCATTCCTCTGGTTGTGCTCAATGAAAATGTTGTAAAGCACCAAGGCTGAAATCTGAGGTAGCAGGGAAATGCAAGAGAGCTGACAATATCCTGTGCCCTCACTGCAAAACCCAGCTACCAGGAGAGTGTCCCTGCAGAAGCAGAGCTGTTTGCAGAGAGGGCTCCAACAAAGGGGTTTATCATAGGTGAGAAAAGTTGTCTTGGGAAGGGAAGGGCTGTTGCTGAATGAGAAGGTGACAATTGGCTATTTTTTTTCCCTAGAGCAGTTTTTTCCCCTGGTTTTTGAGGGGTGTTAGACACTGGGCTGCTCAGCTGCCTTGGGGAAATCCTCATGCTGATGTTCATCAAATCTCAGCAACTTATTACAGAGAGGGAACCAAATTTCTGTACATGTGGTCACATCTCGAGTTGGTGCTGCTTCTCTCCCAGAAGGCAGGTGAAGTTGATGGGCCTCCTTGTGCTGAAAGAGAAGTTCTGCTTTTATTTTATTCCTTGACATGGTTTAATCGTTGCTCTTTAACCTGCAGAGCTTATGACTTTAGATAGCAACCATGGAATGATTCACGTGTGCAAGCAGAACAAACCAAATGTTATCAGGAACATCTCTCCCAAATTGTTTCAATTTCTCAATTGTGTGCAGGTGTGGTACAATCCTGAAGGTTATCACAGCCTCCCAGCCTATCTCAACAGCTTGAACAACTTCATTCTTCGAGCTAACTTGCCAAAAAATGAGACATCCAAATATGGTAAGTGTTCCTTTACACGAGCAGATAAATTCTCCCCTTTGAGGGGGATATCCTGGTTCTGTTGAAATCAATGACAACATTTACCTTGACTTCAATGAGGCCATTTCTTTTTTCACAATTCTGCAATTCCTTTAAAAACAGAATTGAAAAGCATGAATAGATCACATAGTTCATTTGTCTTAGTCAGAGACTCAGGGGAGCTGGACAGGGAGGACCCCAGCTCCCACATAAAACACTTCATCCAAGAAATGCCAGTGGTCGCTCTTTGATTTATTGCTTCTCCTCATGGCACTGGAATAGCTGTCCTTGATACGTGCCCATTAGTTATGCATAGAAAAGCTACTTCGGGTCATCTCCGGGGGTGGTTTAGATTAGGAAATTTTAATATGTCACTCTTCTGCTGAGAACAGCTCAGGGGGTGTGGGTATGTGTGTGCTTGTGTCTGAATGAGAGTGGGGAGAGTGAGATTAAGTGAGAAATATCATTTTCGGCTGTATTTTTCCTCTGACACATGACATACACAGACCCAAGGAGCGTTAGTAGCCCATTTGGGGTTATCTCTTCTCATAGCTTGGTAATGTACTGCAGCAACCCAAATTCCTGCTGATAAAGCAGGGCACCCTGTCTTTCCCTTTCCAGCATGGGCAAAGCCTGTCTGTGTGTGCATGCCTGTCTCCAGACAGGAAGGGGCTGCAGGGACAAGAGAGAGACTTATGCTGATGCCAATTTGAGAAATCTTATGCAGGAATTTTTGGACTCTGCTCTGCTAAGAGCAGTATTTGTGTGCAGAAATGCCTTCCTGATTGGCTTTCTTGGACAAAGGGTGCCCTTCCAGCTGTGTCCTGGTCAAATCCAGCCCTCCTCACCTCAGTGTCCTGCCATCCCAGGGGACACACAGATAGGTGACAGTGTTTCCTGGCTCACAGGACTGTTCCTCACTGACATGTCTGGATTGAGCTAGAATGGAACAGGGATGGGTCTGAAGCTTTGAGTGCCACACCATGAATTAAAGAAACAGCAGATGCTGATTGCAAGTCAAACCAGCATGTCCTGCTTCCCGCCTCACACACCAATGGACACCCCTCACAAGTGGAACCAACGCCTGATCCCTCTCACCATCCCAAAACACCCCTCTGAGTTTGCAGTGAGCCCCCCAGGTCAGATATCCCAGAGCTGCAGCCCCTGCCTGGCTGGGAAGAGAGGAGAGCCGAGCCAGGCTCTTCCAGCGGCAGGATCATCCCAGAGCAGCTGAATTATTAAGCAGAGAAGATTCTTGCTCTGTCTTGGTATTCCCAACACAGGCTGTAGCAAGAGCAAAGGCAGGAAGCTCGTGTGAACAGCCAGGAAGTTTGCACAGGGAAAGTTTTACACCAGCAAAATAACGATTTTCAGTGGGAAAGAATAGCAGCAGTTTTTATTCCATCTGTCCTGCTCCTTATGTGTTTTTGGAAAGAAACGCTTGGTAGTAAATGACCAGACAGATAATTCTCTGCATCCCACTAATCATCCAGGCCATAGAATGGGAGAAATAAAGTGAATGGATGAGGATGGCTCCCCCGAGGTAGAGTAAATCCAGTTTGAAATACAATTGAACAGACGTTCTGCAGGGTACGGTCCTGGCAGCTCAGTCTATTTGTTGTTGTGACAAATAAATGATGGTTTAAGAACCACTGAAATGGCCAGATAAAAGTGTGTTGTCACTTCAACAGCTGGAAAGAGGTGCCAGTCTTGCTTTGGAGGTTTGACTTAGATTGTGTATATTTTTTAAAAAAAATGTATGAAAAGCTTTTTACCCTGTCACTAAGCAAGTCATAATAGCTTTTGACTTATGTATATTGTGCTTTCTCTTCTCTCAATCCCAACCAACAAAAAAGAGAAAGCATTGAAATGGAAATTTTGACTTCTAGCCTAAGCTTCAGTAAAGGAAAATGGCTTTATAGTGAAGTATTAACAGATTAGACAGACAGTATCTTTCTTTCTCTCTCTCCCTTTTGGAGAAAAGGGAAACATTTCCTGTCTGTGAGTCTTTATCAGCAGTCCAAGATTTTAATTCCATCTCTCTCCCTGATGACAAGACTGAGGTTTGTTTTTTGGAGTTTTTTTTCCTCCAAAATTAATTTCTTATGAAATCCTTTCAAATTCATTTGCTTAGTATGGCATTTGGTCAGCTAAACCCACGGGCTCCTCCTTCCTGATCCTCATGTCAGAGTGCTCATTCCTAGGGAAAATAACCCAGAATAATTCTTCATCACCTAATTCCTCGTCTGGCACCTGGCTGTAAGGAGCTTAAACTCCAGAGGTGGGATGTTCTAGAAAATCTGTCTAGCAGCTCTCCCTGAGAACCAGAGCATTTACTGAAGTGCCTAAATATGAATTGAGAACTTCATTTTTAGGCACACAAACATCTAAACCCTTTCTCAGGTGCAGGAGTCTTAGAGACTGGGCTGTCTCTTGGTGGGACCACGGCAGAGACCCGCACTGGAGGATGGAACTGGCCCACCAGAGCCCCACTATGTTCTTCCTTTTGGTTTTGTAGGCACAGGTTGCCTCCAAACACAGCAAAATCACTGTGATAAACAATGTTAGTATATTTTGGGCTCAGTGTTCTCCTTGGTAAAGAAGTACTTACACCAAATCTGAAGATACCTGCACACCAACAGAGAATTTCTCTCTTGCAGTTTGTGCCTGATACAAACCTATTTTAAAGGATTAAAAAAAAAACAAATCCCAGGGACTTACCAATGCAGTAACTAGATTTTACTAGTTCCTTTGAACAAAGTGCTCTTTTTTTTTGTTTTTCTTAAGAAAAGAATAGTTCAGAATTAACTCACTGCCACACTGGGGACAAAAGTGTCTGTACCTTACTTGGGTTTATGCTCACATCTCCATAGTTCCCATACTGAGGAAGACATATGTCACAGGAAGGTAATAGTTGTGAAGAAAGGCAGTAGGGAAAGATTTGTTTCTGATGATAAAAGAACAAATGGAATGAGGGGAGATCATCAAACAGCAGCTTTAAAACAAAACATATCCATCAGTTTTGAAGGTGTCAGTGTTGAAAATCTAACCTGAAACAAGCATGTGCCTAATTTTAGGTGTGGGAGTGCTGAAGGGAATGATGCTGTCTCCCAGACAGATGCACAAACAAGGCCTAGGGTTTGAATTTCAGATCTGCTGTGCAGCAAAGGGAAGTCATAGGAAAAATATGAGTGCTCAAGATTCTGCCCAAGATCACACTGAGATGACAGAGCAGCACTTTTGATCTGCTTTTGTTCTCTACTCACAGTTTTCTGTGTTACTGTCAATATTACTGTCAATATCAGGAGCTGATGAAGAAAGCTTTAAATTGGACACATTTTCAATTTCTTTTCTTATTGTGTTTTTCTTTTTTCTTGGTAGGTATTTTCTTATCAGCTCACCCATATCCTGGAGGACAGAGTCAAGAGCAAGTAATGTAAGAGAATCCATTTGGCTGATGCCTGAATTCTTCAGCTTCAAAAGGAGCAAATCAGCTTCCTGGAAACCATAAACCAACCTAAATTACTGAATATCTTTCTCTAAATGATGAAACTGTTCTCTCTTGTTCCCTCTATTCATGAATAGTGTCTTGCTTGCCACCAGAGCTGATTCCCATGAGGGTTTCTTTGCAGGATCCCATATAGATCTGGAGGCTGCAGTTACAGCATCCCAGATTTGTGTGCTTTGGCACAATAATAATAATAATAATAATAATAATAATAATAATAATAATAATAATAATAATGCCATCATTTTCCTTTGGGCCCTTCCGCTACATGCTGTGGTAGAGCATTGTGACTCAGTGCTGTGAGTCCTTTTTTTAGGCCTCATTAACATCAGTAAAGAGAGGAAAGAAAGGAAAGAAAGAAAGGAATTCTTCCCTGTGAGGGTGGTGAGGCCCTGGCACAGGTTGCCCAGAGAAGCTGTGGCTGCACCATCCCTGGAAGTGTCCAAGACCAGGTTGGACGGGGCTTGGAGCAACCTGGGCTAGTGGAAGGTGTCCCTGCCCATGGTAGGGGAGTGGAATGGGATGGTCTTTGAGATCCTTTCCAACCCGAACCGTTCTGTGATTGTAAAGGATGCTGGCCCAGAGACAGGACCTTGTTGCTTCTGAGCTCTGAACAACCCTCTTCAGAGAGGGAAATCTGCCACCCTGACTCACCACATACATCCTTCTCCACTTTCTCCCCAGGCTCAACAGTTTACTCGACATCATAGTGTCCATGTCTGTTCTGGTTGGCTACTCTATCACGACAGCCAGCTTTGTGCTCTACATGGTCAAAGAGCATCAAACCAAAGCCAAACAACTGCAGCATATTTCAGGCATTGGGTTGACAACCTACTGGGTGACTAACTTCGTTTATGATCTGGTAAATAATTCACATTCCTAAATGCACCAGGAGTAGCACTACACAGCAGGGGGCGCTGGGGGAAGGTTCTTTATTTAAAGTTCATTGCCTAGACTTATTATTATTACTACCCAGAGTGTTACGTAGCGATTGTTCTCCAGGGCTCTGAAGACTATTAAGTGCAAACCACAACCCTGGGTTCTGCCAAGCAAAGGCATTCCTTCTCTCTGGAGTGTGTGCAAAGCACTGCACATTTGTTGGAGAGCAGCATGGAACAGGCTGGAGCTTGGTTCCCATTTGACATGGAAGCAGCCAGCTGGTCTTCTGCCAGTTGCAGGGCTGGATCTGCTGTCACACAGGCCCCACACATCTGGGGTGAGGCTTTGGGGCTCAAGGCTACAGCTGTGTTTGGGAACTCTGGGTGTACAGTGTGGGGCATTAGCACACATCCTACAGCTGACACAACTCTCTTGGGCAAAAATCCATTTCTGGGTTGAATGATATCTTTAAGATTATGTATTACAAAGGTTTTTAATCCAAATGCAGGTATATGCCTTCCAGACAAGTTCCTTTTCACGGTGCTGTGTAGATTTACCAGTTTGTTCCTTGTTGAGCTGCCCAGAACTGCACTGCATTCCATGGTGTGGGCATGCCCTTGTTCTCCCTGAAGTTCAATTTCCTCCTGGTACAGTGGGTTAATAGCCCTGCTGGAAAGCATTGCTTAGCTAAGAGGGTGAATGTGCACAGTGTCTGGAGACTGAATGTCTTATGAGTTGCCCCCTGTGCGTGGGGTCAGACCCTCCCTCAGAGAACAGCCAGCGCAGACAAACTCAGCTCACGAGCCTTGGCATTGCCAGCTGTGCTGTAATGGGGATCAGCTCCATGTGTCCAGCAAATTTCTACTGAGGCAGTTCTGCTAGTGCCTAAAATCCCAGTGATATCATCACTTCCTGAAAATAGGGAATCTTCAAGGGCATTTGGGTGTCCAGTCCCTTTTGGTGCAGGGAGGGCTAAGGGCTGAAATCCCATGGGGAATGGGAGCCTTGACTCTTTCTGCAGAGCACAGCCAAAGCTTCTGGGTGTTCTGGTAACACCAACACACACCAACCAGGCAGTGACCAAAGCATCACAACTGCCTGCCTGGAGGGGCTGGTATGGTCAGTCAGCAGCACAAGGAGGGGCTGAAAAAGGGTCCGAAGGCAGCGTGGCTGCAGCCTGGCTTGGCAGCACAGCAGGGAGGATGGAGCAGACCTGTGCCTGCCTCCCTGATCCAGGCACTCGCTCCAGCACTGCATATTTGTATATCAGCCTGTGGAAAAATCCCTGGAGTCCCTGCACAATCAGTATTCAGCGGGCTGAAACTAATCCAGCACTCTCGGCAACTTGATATTTCTCAGTGAATCCCTGCCAGTAAATTCTGCTAAATCCCAAAGCTGAGGAAGAGAGGAACCTCTCAAGGCAGACGTTTGGTAGCTCTCTGGCTTGGCTCAACATTATAAAGACCAGATTTACAGGGCACAATGAAGTGGTCTGACTGCAAGGCTAACAGAAAACCCAAAGGGGTATTTTTTATTCACAACCTTTTTTTAAGGTATTTTCTGCCTGCGGTCCTCAGTGTTGAGGCTTTGCCTATTCAAAGTGGCTTTGTGGGAATTCACTTGCAAGCCTGAGGAGGACTGAGACCCACCTGTGTTTGGTTTCCCTTAGGATGCCCAAGCTGCACTTGTAGGACCAAATTCAGTCCTGGCTTTGTTGCTTCTGCATTGTTCTAGGGAAATGTTTAAGAACTGTTGTCCCAGTAACATCTTTTTAATATCATTTTGCAGGTACTTTTTATGGTCCCTATTGGACTCTCAGTAGGAGTTATTTCAGCCTTCCAGATCCCAGCTTTCTGCAACAACAGTAACTTACTGGCAGTATTTCTTCTGCTGTTACTGTTTGGGTAAGTGTGGAGTTCAGTTATTTAAGTATCCCTGCACAGAATGAGGAACTGGATATTGCAGGCTGCTGCAGCTTGAAATCCAAGGGGGGAATACATGGGCTTTTTCCTTTGACACTTTACAAACAGTGACAAGTTACTCCTTGCAGGAGCAGGGAGGTGAACCATTGCTGCCTGCTTTATTCAAAGCAAACCCTATGTGAGGATATGGAAATATTCAAGGTCCCAGTGACAGCCCAAGCTGTAAGCAAATGCTTACTGAACTATGGCAAAGTTCAAGAGATAGAGACATTTCAATATCAGAGAGCAAAATAAACAGCAGCACAATTCAGGAAGACTTAGTCAAACTGTCTCCCTGCCTTTGAATCCTCCAGGCCCAGTCTGTTTGTTTTCAGGTGGAGTTCCATGTTCATAGTATGTATCGTAAACCTTTTCTCCAAATTCTAACAGACACAAAGTCATTTTTCCTTCTTTAAGCTCTGTAATGTGGAAATCTAGTCACATGCCAAAACAGAACTGTTACGTTCCATCCCTGGAAGAGTTCAAGGCCAAGTTGTATGAGGCTTGGAGCAACCTGGTCTAGTGGAAGGTGTCCCTGACCCTGAGAGGGGGGTGGGACTGGATGGTCTTTAAGGTCCCTTCCAACCCAAACCTTCTATGATTGTCTGATGTCTTCAGTTGTTTGCTTTCAAAGTAGCTTTTTGAGTTACTGTGGTGTTCTCTGCACTGTTGGTAATTTCTAGGTACGCATCGTTTTCATGGATGTACCTGCTGGCTGGGTTCTTCAAGGAAACAGGGATGGCCTTCATCGTGTATGTCTGTGTCAACTTGTTCTTCGGCATCAATACCATTATCACGCACTCGGTTGTATTTCTGCTCTCCCAGGAAAAGGCCACGGACCAGGTAGGAGCCCTACTGATACTAAACCCCTGGTGAAACAGCAGGAGGCTTCTTGTGGGTTTGGTGGCTTTGATCAGGTCCTTCACAGCTGGACATTAATCACGGGACTTGATGGGGTTCCCTACAGACAGGACACAAGTCACATACGGATCCTGCTTGTCTGTAAATCTGCACCCCCAGCAGGGAAGAAAATGGTGATGACAGAGGGGAGAACAAAAAGGAGAGGTGGAAAACTGGGGACCCTTCTTCTAGCTATCCTGGTGATGGAAAATGAAGGGCAGGAGCTGGGTGGAGATCTTTGATGGACACTTCAAAGCATTGCTGAGTTCTTGCAGCACAAACTGTGGGGAGTGACAACTAAATGTCACTGCCCTGGGCCTGATGTGCTGCATTAAGCCCAGCATCAGCTCTCTGTCATCTAGATCTGTAATGCAGTCATCTTCTCCCTGCAAGAATGACAAATGACTTAGAGATGGTGATGACTCCCTAAAGTAAAGCCTTCTCTTAAACTGAGATATCCCTGGGATAAAATGTACACCTTACACTTAGGTTCCTTTTTTATCGAGGGCAATTACTTTGTACAACAATAGCTGGGTTGGATTTTTCTCTCTAGCTGGACAGAGCTTATTCAGCAACCCCCTGGACTTTAGGGACATGCAGTTATGATCACCTTTCATCCCTCTGTGCCCCAATGGCAGGGAGTCAGTCTCTTTCCAAGCTAATTTACTACCTCCCCACTTTGCTGTGTGCACTAATCCTTTCTTCTGCTAGAGATGTACCAAACCTTTACTGTGAGACTGTGCACTGGGCTGCTTTGCCATGAATTAGCTGGAAAAGCCCTTCTAGATCTAGTAAAGACAAATCTGTTTTATGGAGATGTTTGTCCAAGGAAAACAGATAGGACAGTGCTCCAAGGGAGCAGACAGTGCTGCAGGGGAGCTGTGTGTACAGTTTTGGGGGGCACAGTGCAGCTCAGTGGCAGGGTTCAGCTCTGGCCCATGGGTGGGTTCCGGGTGGCTGGAGCAGCAGCGAGGGACCACACTGGGAACTGGCTGCTGTTTACTATGGGTGATCACAACCTCAGAGCTGCCTGTTGACTTTTATGACCTTGTGCCTGTGAAACGAGCTGTCTCCAGAGCTCTTTGCTCTCAATTTATCTCTGCTCTGAGACACAAGCAAATCCCAGTGTAATTGTTACACTTCAGTCCCACAGTAAAACCTATGAATTTATTCCATGAATAAAAGCAGTGACTGACTGTGCTGCTCTTTGTTTTTTACCAGGGCTTGCGTGATCTTGCTGAAAATTTAAGGCATGCATTCCTTCTGTTCCCACAATTTTGCTTTGGCTATGGCTTGATTGAACTGTCGCAGGATCAGGCACTGCTGGGCTTCTTAAAAGCCTATGGAGTGGATTACCCTGACAAAACCTTTGAGCTGGACAAGACCACATCCAAGCTGTTTGCCATGTTTATCCAGGGCACCGTGTTTTTTGCCATTCGCCTTACAGTTCACGACAGGATGATTCAGAGAGTCTGGAGCAACATACTGGAGTAAGTAACATCTGGAGCCCCGCAATGAAAACAGACCAAGCCAGAGCTCAGTGGTTTCATTCTGGGCTCTCACACCATCATTGTCAATTATGAAGCCCATAAATTTCCAAGACACTTTGCAAACACGGAGTAAGTTTCCTCTGGCAGCAGTCCCAGTAAGTGGAATATTAACTAACAGAGGTGCAGGTTACCAGAGTCCCTTGGCATTCTGTGCTGGCTGGGACTGCAGGGCTCTGGGGTTGGTGGGTGGATGTTCAGTAGTTCAGTGAGTGGTTGGTAAGAGCAGCCAGTCCATTGACAACCTCTCTTTGAATCTCCCCCTCTCCTCAAAGAGGAGTGAGAACATTCCTGTCACCTGCAATAGCACTGTGTCCACAAGGCAGGACTTTCTCCAGCTCAGAACATTTGCTGAAAAAGAGGAAAAAAAAATTAGGCAGAAAGAGAACGCTGGGCTTTTTAATTCCCTAAATGGAGCAAATATCAGGAAAGAACAGAACCTGTCTGAGTATTTTGTGCGTGCCCTGGACCTCACAGGAGGGCTACTTAGGATCTCTCCCAAGCACAGAGGCCTCTGCTGTCTGCTTGCTGAGGGAAAGGTCCCCCTGCCCTCCCCGTAGGTTCCTGTTCGACAGAGTGCACGGCAAAGCGTCACTCCTGCCCCCTGTGGAGGAGGACGGGGACGTCCAGGCGGAGAGGAGCCGGGTGGAGGCTGGCAAGGCTGACTTCGACGTGGTGCAGCTCCAGAACCTCACAAAGATCTACCACCTTCCTCACAAACGCATCGTGGCTGTGAAAAACATCAGCCTCGGGATTCCCGCTGGAGAGGTGAGTGAGGGGAAAAGGCTGTGGGCACCTTCCAGTGTCACTGTTGTCTTCTCTCCCAGCCCTTGCTGCTGTCCCAGAACAGCTGTAATGGTTTGTCCTGCTCTGACCTCTTCATCCCTTTGCCTCATTCTTGGGGTTACAGTAGTGATGAAAGGCTCTTTGTGGATTTGGGACACTAAGTGGCAGTTTGAAGGCCCTAGAAAGAGAGGAAGTCAATGGGAATTGATGGCGCAAAATGTCTGCGTGCTGTGTTTGCACAGCACCCAGCACAGCACATCTTGTGGGGTCACTGGGGGTCACCAGGTGGTAAATGAAGACAGCAGAATGTGTCCAGCTGAAATTATTCACCTGAACTGCGTGGGAGATTGTGAGTCAGACCATCGTGCTTTCCCATCGGGAAACACAAATCACTTCAGCTGAACACACATTTTCATGAATCAGGACTTAAAACTAAAGAAAAAATGATTCTTTGGTCATGTCAGCGCAGTTACCTGCCTGAGAAGTGAAAAGATAGGAGTGCACAGAGCACCTCTGACATCCAGAGGAAAGAGGAGACCAGATTCTACCTCAGGCTGTGCAGCTGACCTGTGGGGAAGCTTGGCATTAACCCTTGGTACCTGATTTATTTTAATTGCCTGGATCCCACTGAGATAAAAGGATGTAGGGCGCTGGGCAGGACAGCAGCCTCACGTGAAGACTGAGGCTCTGGTCTTTCTGGCAGAGGACTTTTCCTAAGCCACAACTGGCACCGAGGTCTGTAATGGCCCATCCCGCTCAGTGGGTTTGGGGGGAAGGCAGTTGGATTCACTCTGTGGTGCAGCAGAGGAACAACAAAATTATCAGGAGGTTCAATAACAAACTTTTACTACAAACATTAGGACATAGAGGTAGAATAAGGTACTTGGCAAATTTTAAAACAACATCCAGACAAAGTAAGGTACTTCACAAACGTTAACTTAGCAAACTTTTTAACTCATCCATGGTCCACCATTTTGGGGCAGCCGATGCAGTGCTGTCACCATTTTGGTGTGGGCCAAAAGCTCACTGAGGCTAAAAGGGGTGGGTGTCAGAGCTGTGCCTGTCCCACCTCTGCACAGCTCACCCTGTTCCCCTCACTTCCCACCTGACTGTTTGGAGCCAGTCAGCCATTCCTCCACTCTCCTACAAGTTCTCTGACTTCTGGCAAAATTCACCTGCTGCTGGTGGGATTTAGGGCACCATTCCCCACCTGTCTGCAGAAGCCCTGGCCCTGCCCACAGACCATGCACAGATACTGTCTCTGCATAAACCTCGAGGTGGGGAAGAGCCTTGGGTCGATGCTGTGCATCTGCAGTGGGCCCAGCACATAAGAACTTTCACATCAGATGGTTTGTACTAATGATATCAAAATAATAGTAATTATCAGCACAATGGTGATGGCTTATGCAACACATAACTGCATTTACCCAACCTTAGTAATAAAACATGAATTTTACCATGAGATACTGGAACTGCACTACAGGGAGCCAGTTCTTAATCTTATTAATGCAGTGCATAACTGAGATTATTTGACAAAAATCTTGTGTCACATTAAGGTTTTACCAGTGACAGCCCAAACCTCACTCACCTCATTCCCATGAGCAGCTCTGTTCCTGTCAAGGGGAGGCTTTGCACAAATGAGTTAATCAAGATTTGCTCCTGCAGAAACGCACCTTGCAGGAAAAGGAATGACTCTATTAGAGACACATCCCTGCTTCTTCACCATATTAAACAAACGGTCCTAATATAAGGCTCAGAATATTGCACCATAAACAACCTCCATTATAACATTGGTATGCGCCGAGTTCCTCTGCCTCTCCCGCAATCCATCTTGCTCAGGGGTCTGGAGAAAGAGGAGACAAGGTGCACTGAGCACTTCTCTCAGAGCAGGATTTCTGCATTGGAAATACAGCATGCTTACATTTCGGCTCCTCTTTCCCACAACCCAGTGCTTTGGCTTGCTTGGTGTGAACGGAGCTGGAAAGACGACGATCTTCAAGATGCTGACGGGTGATATCGGAGCATCCAGCGGAAGGTTGCGGGTCCAGGATCATTCTGGGTATGGAAGATGTGATTTCTGGGGAAGGCACACAAGCAAATCAACCTGAGCAGTTTTTAAGGCTGGGTGGTAAAGGAAAGGAAATGTGAAAGTCTGAAACAAAAGAAAACATTCGAAACAGAGCAAAAATAAATAAGGCAGGGAATTCATCCTTTGAAGGTGGTATGGTTGCTTCCTAGGGGGTTGCATTTTGCTGCCGTGCCTGTGCTGTTTTCAGAGGTGTTTCTTCCACTTCATTCCATTGCAAATGGGATCAGGCTCAGATCCTCAGAGTGTGATCCCACTTCTGATCTAGACCTGGAGACCAGTAGGGCTCACCTCAAAGCGCACTTTAGCAGGTGTAGGTGTGGTGGCAGCTGTGCCACCTGAGGTGCTGCAGTAATTGGAGAGCTGTGTACTAGAACTGAGGGCCTGAAAGCTGGAGGTCTGCAGATTCATGGCATTTTCCTTCCAGGGTTGGGAAAGGGGGTAGGAAGCTGGATAAAGGGGGTTTCTCACTCCTGTTTGATTCTAGAGTGCATTGGCAGTTCAGTCCACATACAGTGACTTGCCAACTTCCTTACACAGGTCCTTGAATGACATTAGTGAGGCACACTGGTCACTCTTTGGCTACTGTCCTCAAGAAGATGCCTTGGATGACTTGCTGACGGTGGAAGAGCACATGTATTACTATGCCAGGCTGCACGGCATCCCAGAGAGGGACATCAAGGGAGTGAGTAACACTGGGGCTTGACTTGCAGCATTTGTCATAATTGAGAACCTTTACATTAGTCTTTCAGTAGAAGTGTGTGTGGTAATTCACACCTGGACATGTTATGGAAGCAGTACTCTTGTTCCATAGGTTGTGCTGCAGCTTCTCCACCGGCTGAATCTGATGGCCTACAAGGACAGAGTCACCTCCATGTGCAGTTATGGCACCAACAGAAAGTTGTCAACTGCTCTGGCTCTCATTGGGAATCCATCGATCCTGCTGCTGGTGAGGAATGAGGGCCTTGCTGGGGGCAGGACGAGCACATCTTTGGGCTGGCAGGGGAACTGTGACAGTGTAGCAAAGCCCCCTGAGGCACAGCTTACCTGACATTCTCAACATGCCCATGCTTAGCCTGACAACAGAGGCATCACAGGAAACTTTAGGTGCCAGCAAACACTCAAATATTTCTTGAGGGCATAAGAGTGTGGTGACTCTGCTAGTTTCTCTGATAGCGTCTTTCAGAGGTCAAAAATAGGTCTTATATTTGCCAATTAGGCTCTTTTTTCCTGTCGACTAACCTGCAGAGTCTTCCAACAAAAGTGACATTCAAACCTGTAGGAGAGCAAAGGAGCAACTTCCCTCAGGATTAGAACATAAAACTTTTTTTCTAGGTTTGGCTTCCCCTTTTGTCTTTGAGCTTGCCAGTTCTTCCATGAACTATGCCCTTGCTAAAACACACCTTTTTGTGCAGTTGTCCCACTTGCTGTGTACTGAATGTGTGCAGAGCTCTGTGAGCAGGATTCCCGACGTTAAGTCTGATACCTGGTGGACATAAATCTCCCTCGGCCCAACTTGTACTGAGCCCAGCACTGCTGCCTTTGCTTCTGACCACACACTGGTGCTCTTACTGCTTTTGTGAGATAAAAGATTTGAATAAAAATAGGCAGTGGGGAAATTCCCTCTGTACTGCCTGCTGTCTGAACCCGAGCTGGTTTATTTCTGCCTCTTGTAAGCTGTTGTCCTCAACAATAGCAGCTTGTCAATCAGGAACTGGCTGACAATTTCATCAGCAGTGCCTAAGACAGGAGATGGTATATCCTCTGTCATCTCTCACTTGCTGTCTCTCTAAGTGGAGAAATGCAACATGTGCTTCACCAGCATAGGATAAAGAGGCATGTGCCTGTTGTTATCTCCTTATCTGGGGTGGTGGCTGTGGGCTTTGGGTGTTTCAAACACTGTGGTGTAAAAAGCACAGAGGGGTTGATCTAAGGTGGAGCTGTCACAGCCCATCAGTTCCTTGTGTCCAGTGGAGGCTGTGGGTTTCTCCAATCGCCAGGAGAGCTGTGCAGCTCCACAGGGCAGCAAGGAGGGGAAGCTCAGTCAAGCTGACCTGCTCCTGCTTGGGGGGAGGCGTGGGGTATCTCAGTCAAATCCATAATGCAATTGAGGATAATCCTTGTCCCAACTCTGTACCAGTGTAGGCTCTCCTGTGCATCCTTATAGCAAACATAGCACTGAGGATGAACCTGGAAACAGCACAAGTGTTGGGGAGGTCAGATTTTGAGTGCAAATTTACATTCAGTCCTGTCTTTCCCAATAGGATGAACCGAGCTCTGGAATGGATCCGAATGCTAAACGCCACCTTTGGAAAATCATCAGTGAGGAAGTGCAGAACAAGTGTTCGGTGATACTCACATCCCACAGGTAGGGCTGGGGTGGCTCTGCCCCCATTTTGGGATTGGCAGGAGGTATGGAGAGGCCCATCCCTCTCACTCCCTGTTGGCCTTGCACAATTCCAGAGCTGTGACAGATTTGGGGGTTTGTTGTGGCTGAATGTGGGTGCCCACAGAGACTCACAATACTTTAGGGAAGAACAGTCATGTTCTCTGATTACTAAAACAACCATTTTTTTTATACCTTCTCAATGACTTACTGGAGTTTCTGGGTTGGTTTTCCAGCATGGAAGAGTGTGAAGCCCTCTGTACCAGGCTGGCTATCATGGTGAATGGGAGTTTCCAGTGCATTGGCTCTTTGCAGCACATCAAGAGCAGGTCAGTAAAATGTACCTATTTCACTTTTGGTGAACCATGTATGGAATTACTGACCTACAGCTTTTAGGGCTCAGAACATGAGACCTGTGTTAACAGGACATCAAAATAATGACATTTTCTGGTTTACGTTTCTTACTGCACCATTGAAATTCTTTGTTAACTAATGCATTTTCTTTTCTCTCACAGCCTTTCTTCCCAGAAATTTGTCCCCCAAAGTAATCAGTTCACTGCTGCAAATGTGAAATGCATATGAGAGTTGAACATTTATTTTATTAATTCTAACAATAGCTTGGCTTCTTATTAAGTTTCACTCCAGGTTAACAACCCTGACCCCATTCAAGTTGTACTCTGCCTGGATTAGATTTCCCCAAAGAGGCCATGCAAGAAGTCTCAGAGGATTTTCTTTATCTCTTTCTCTTCTCTACACTGTTAATTGTGATTTACTTTTTCCTCTAGGTTTGGAAGAGGATTCACTGTGAAGATGCACTTAAACAGCAACACAGTTTGCACTGAGATGCTGACAGAGTTCATGAAGTCACACTTTCCAAACACGTGCCTGAAGGTAAGCAGGACAAGTGCTTTCTGGAGAGGCCTTCAAAATCCCTTCAAATTAACCAAGAGGATCTTGCAAGATGGACACCTTGTAACATACGGTGCACATGGACCTGTGCCCTCAGGGTCACACTTGCCACTGCTGTCAGCTACACGGTCCAGGGGCTGGAGCACTCCACTTCCTTGGTGGCTTAAATAACATCAGCCAAACAGCTGCAGTGATCCTGTAAAGGCAGCTGCCCCAGGGATGGTCCCATAGATGCCTGGCCTGCGTGGAGACCCACTTCAGGTTCAGTGGGTAATGAGATGGTCAGGTGCTTCCAGTAACTGAGTAACTGTAGAACCAGATTAACTCAGCCACAAATCCCATCCCTTGTCCCTAACCCAATCTCTTCAGCAAGGCCTTTGACACTGTCTCCCATAATATACTCCTGGAAAAGCTGGTAGCCCATGGCTTGGACAAGTGCATCCTCTCCTGGATTAGGAGCTGGCTGGAGGGTCGGGCCCAGAGAGTGCTGGTGAATGGAGCTGCATCCAGCTGGCGGCCAGTCACTAGTGGTGTTCCCCAGGGGTCTGTGTTGGGTCCAGTCCTGTTTAACATCTTTATTGATGATTTAGATGAGGGGATTGAGTCCATCATCAGCAAATTTGCTGATGACACCAAATTGGGAGGGAGTGTCGACCTGCTGGAAGGCAGGAGGGCTCTGCAGAGGGATCTGGATAGACTTGAGAGATGGGCTGATTCCAATGGGATGAAGTTCAATAAAGCCAAGTGCCGGGTCCTGCACTTTGGCCACAACAACCCCCTGCAGCGCTACAGGCTGGGCACAGAGTGGCTGGAAAGCAGCCAGGCAGAAAGGGACCTGGGGGTACTAATTGACAGGAAGCTCAACATGAGCCAACAGTGTGCCCAGGTGGCCAAGAAGGCCAATGGGATCTTGTCCTGTATCAAAAATAGCGTGGCCAGCAGGAGCAGGGAAGTGATCCTTCCCCTGTACTCTGCGTTGGTGCGGCCACACCTTGAGTATTGTGTACAGCTCTGGGCCCCTCAGTTCAGGAAGGATATTGAGGTGCTGGAGCGGGTCCAGAGAAGAGCAACAAGGCTGGTGAAGGGACTGGAGCATAAGTCCTGTGGGGAGAGGCTGAGGGAGCTGGGGTTGTTTAGCCTGGAGAAGAGGAGGCTCAGAGGTGACCTCATCACCGTCTATAACTACCTGAAGGGAAGTTCCAGCCAGGTGGGGGTTGGGCTCTTCTCTCAGGCCCTCAGCAATAGGACAAGGGGGCATGGGCTTAAGCTCCGCCAGGGGAAATTTAAGTTGGATATCAGGAGAAAATTCTTTACAGAGAGAGTAATCAGGCATTGGAATGGGCTGCCCAGAGAGGTGGTGGATTCACCATCCCTGGAGATTTTTAAACACAGATTGGACGTGGCACTGAGTGCCATGATCTAGTAAATGGACTGGATTTGGACCAAGGGTTGGACTCGATGATCTCAGAGGTCTTTTCCAACCCAATCGATTCTATGATTCTATGATTCTACATTAATCAAAATGGCTCACTTGGAGCTGGAAAATGCTATGGCCACCCTGGAGCTTCCAGCTTTGGGGCTTAGTTGTCCTCTCCCAGCCACAGAACCCACAGAAACTCCCAATGGGGAAACACTGGTCAATACCACAGGATACCCCCTGCCCCTTGATTCTCCCATGGTCCATCAGATCTGTTGGCTCTTCACGTTACCCCGTCATTCCTGTTCCCACAGGATCGGCATTTCAACATGGTGGAGTATCACGTTCCAGTCTCTGCAGGAGGCGTAGCAAATATATTTGATCTCCTGGAAGGCAGCAAAGCAGCCTTCAATATCAGGCACTTCTCTGTGAGCCAGACGACGTTAGAGGAGGTAAGGAATTAAAATGTGTGACCATCCATTTAAAACTGCCAACAGGGGAGCAGACTGATGGTTACACATAATGGACTGCTGCACACAATAGACTACATTTTGAAAGGGATTTCCATCTATATTCCTCCTGGGGGTACTTTATCAGTACTACTGCCTCCAGGTACCTGTGCTGGCGTGAGGAAAATGCACACGGAAAGCTGCCCGTAGCATAAAGGATCTGTTCTTCTCTCTATCACTGCTGATTTCAGCAGCCTCGTGGGTTTGGATGAAGGGCAGGATTATGAATCACTCCTGAGTCCAGGGCTAGGCTTGCCACCAGTCCTGGAAATTTGCTTAGTTTCACTCTTTGGTTTGTAAGTTCATTTAGCATTACTCCAGACTTAACTTTGTGGTTAAGTCCTTTCCATTTTCCCTTGGAAGAACATTCCCGCTGGCACCAAAATCTTGCAGGAAGCACATCAGCTGTAGGGATGCCACAAGGACTATCCTGTTGCATATCAGCACCTGAAATACTAGGTTTGTGTCAGAGAGAGGAGCAGCCCTGTAGTCCTATGGACTGTGGCACAGTGATCTGGGGGAAGTTCCTCAGTGTTGGTGTAATAGGGGGCAGTGGCTGCGAGAGAAACGGGCGGGCAAAACGCAGGAAGCCCCAAGTTTTGTGGGATGGCAGCTTGGATTTGTGAATATGCAAATGTGATTGCAGGTAGTGTTCTAGTAAGAATTCTTAGTGTACGAATTCGATACTGTTCAAAGGAAGACTGTAGGAGCGACTGTAGACACCCCTCTCTGCACTCTGCAGTTGCGTGTGCACAGATGTCAATCACACACAGACAGACGGGTTTATAAAGCAATGATGGGACTGTGTTACCGTGTGATCGAAAGGAGCCTCCACAAGGGTATTACCTCGCTGGCACTGCTGGAACCTGAGCTGCAGGACAATTAGGCTTCATGCAGGAATGTCTGCCTTTGCATCCTGGGTGTCGATTCAGCAGTACAGGAATGTGCATCCATTTATTTACATTAGCCCATGGAAGACCAACATTTGCAATTCTCAAATCCAGCGTGAAGCATGCTCTCCAGGCTCACAGTCAAATGAACAGCCAATCCTTTTTCATATTCATTCATATTATAAATTATTTATGCTGTCACAGACTGAGTGTTTTCCTTTGAAATTCCAGGTTTTCATCAACTTTGCTAAAGATCAAGAGGATCCTGATGGCGCAGACACGGGTCCTGATGTGACAGTGGACAGCTCTGACACAAGTAGCCAAGCGAGCACCATAAGCTCCATCTATTGAGGGGACCCAACCACACAGGATCATAAAACCTGGGAAAAGACCTGGCAGCCCCTCAGGGTTCTTCTAACCCTGTTTTCTGTGATTCTGGGATGGTGGGGGTGAAACAGTCCCATTTTCTTAAAGTACTTTCTTTTTTTTATGCACTTAATTTGTAACTAGGAACATGGTAGGCATTTGAGACTGGCACTTGGTTACAAATCAGATTGGTCTTTCCACAGGTTCTTTTCCCCCCAGTTCTTGTTTTGTGATCACTGTAATGCCTGTGAGGACTTAGATGACATCACCCACTGCTCGTGGCTGTTTGCTTACAGCAGAAATGGCTGTGATGGAGCAGAGGAGCTGTTGGCAGTGCAGGGTGTTTGACCAAAGAGCAGCCCCCAGCTGCAGAGGAAAGCCCACACTCCGCTCCTTGCTCAGCAACAGACTTCCAGGGTGACCATGCCAAAGTCCCTCAGGTTTGACAGGTTCCCTGCTGGTGAGAAGGGGCTTGTGGCCTTGCCCTGCCTGCCAGGGGAGCTGTGAGGACATAGGTGTTGTGTACTGAGAGCTGCAAATGCCATTGATGGGGGCCATCTTTGGTAATGACATAGAGCTTATCTGTATGTGTGGGTTACGTCAGCACAAATACAGCTATTTTAAAATTCAGTGCTTCCAGTGGTTTTCGTTTATTCCTGTAGTTTATTCCAGCTCTGTGTAACTCCTCAAGTAACTCCTCTGGTGCCAGGCAGTTCCTAGCTCTTGGTACCCAGTGGAAGTTCATTCCCCCACGAGCCCTTTTCTCCTTTGGGCTGGTGTTCAGGGCTGCTCTGCCACAGCTGAGGAATGGCACAGGGCAGGTGTCTTGGAACTCTTCTCTGACATGAAGGAGTTTGCTTTCCAAGACTGTGTTTCCCTGAGCACACTAAAGGCAGCAAGCACTTCCCTATTTCAGAAAACCTCCATCTCCCAGCAGCTCTGCCTTTCTGTGTCCTCTCCAGTGACCTTCTTCCTCAACCCTACGTGGTGGCTGCCCCCATGACTCCAGAGCTGTGTTTTCCCACATAATAAGGCATCATTAGCTTCTGCTTCAAAGGCTCTGCCTGCTGGCTTTCAATGAATCCTCTGCCTCCCTATGAGCAGCAGCCCCCAGCAGCTGAGTTCAGCACACCAGCACGCACATCCTGCTTCCTCCCCCCCAGAATCATTAATAGATGGAGTAGTTGAATATGATTCTTTATTATATGTATCAGCATAAGGCCTCAAAGACTCGGGTTTGGGTCAGGGCATTGGTGTACGTGGTGCTATTCAGGCACATAATGAACTTAAACTCTGAGCTCAATAAACTTGCTGTTGCTCATGAAAGAGATTGCAGATAAAGCCTTACCTTGTGAGACCTGGGGTGGCCCATACAACTTACCTGGGTTCACCCACACAATTCCAGCCAGGTGTTTTCTCTTTCCTTTTTATTTTTCCCCCAAAACTAATTTGAGCCGAAGGAACCTTTGATGAAAGCTGCAATGGCACATCTTTCTCACTCTGATCATCAGAGCAGTTTGACTAGTTCAGCTCCTATTGATGCCTTTTGAAGGAATAGATACTTTCAGTATCAAGGGATTCAAGATTTTACAGTGGGATACTGATGTTCAGGGTTTAGTTGCTGCAAGGAGGTCACGAATTCTCCTTGGTATAAACTTCTTACTGATAGCAGGAGGAGTTTTATTATGGATTGAAGGTATTGTCAAGCCTTGAATTATGCCTCAACCTGCTGACTGTAATTAAAACTGGGATTCAGCTTCTTTCCAGAATGCATTTGACACCTGCAGTTTATAAGTAACTGAAAAAGCTGCCCAGACATCCATTGTAGCTTCTATTATTATGTCTCCAGCTCTGCAAAGGCTCTTTTTTCTCATTTTCATTGCATATCTTACACAGATCACAGTATAAAATTAAGCTTTTCTCTAATGGAGGGCTTGTGCTCCCTGCAAAGGACTCAGAGCATGAATGCCAATGATTTAAATGCAGCCTTGTAATACCAATCAGAGTATTATTTTATTATGTCGATGGCTTTGCAACTGCCAGTGAAAGATGGATCTTCAGACTCTGTCCAGATGTACTTTACATGTAATTGAGGGAGACTGATACAAAGCTATTCTTTTGTCCCTTTAGAGCCTACTAATCAAACAAAAAAAAAAAAAGGGGGAAGTGATTCATTGGAATACTTCAGCAAGTTGCAATTTAATTGAGTAAAATAGTTTTGAGGGGGGAAAAAAAAGCAAAAAGCATCCTTTGAATTTCCACCCAATTCTGGCATTAATAGAAACATCTGTTCCATGTGAAATGTGTCAGGGCCGTGATATACACTCCCCGTTCTCACTTGCAGGTAGAAATAAACCATCTGCTGTTGCAATCAAGTCTGTAGGTATTGGTCCAAACAAGCCCAAGTTTACATCCTGGAGGGAATTTAACTGCGGCCCATGGAGAAGCACTTACAACTGTTTGGGGGGTTGAAGCATCTGGCAAGGTGGTTGTATATCACGCCACCAGGGGCTGAATTACCTTTTGTGCCACATTACAAACATCCCTGTTCCCTGCAGAGCCTCAGATTCATCCTGTCCCTTTCAGGTGTGGGACACGCTCCAGCCTCAGTTCTGAGGCAAAACACATCCAAGCTGATACTATCCTGCCTCTGCACACCAGCTGCAGGCTTCTCATCACCTCTTGTCTCCCTGAGCAGGGCCCATTGTGGTTCCAGGGGTGGTGAGGAATGCGGAGCCTGGACTAAAAGGCAGCTGCTGAGGATGTGTCTGAGGGCTGTGAGCAGGCTGTGCATGGCCCGGGAAGGACGGGTCACTCCCCTGTCTTTGGCACTCACTGTCATCTTCCCCTGGGGGTGTCACGGCAGGTGCCCCTTGTTGTCAGTCCTCTCTGGATCCCCTCAGAAATTTTTGCTTTACATAACTCTGCTTTCCAAAAAAACCCAAGTAGCCAACAAGCTCCCTCCTCCCTCTGGCCTGGGCAGGGAGGTGAGACTGCTGAACACTGACCCAGCAGCGCTCTGTGTACCACGGCACGGCTCCTCTCCACGAGCTGCAGTCCAGGGGGAAACAAGCTTTTCATCTCACTCCTTTGATGCAATTTCACCTCAGCCACTCTCATAACCCTTGTTAGAGGCAGCAGTGCTGGGGCAAGCCCTGCCAGAGCGGTCACACAGCCCCTGTGTGTTAAATGGAACAGCACGAGCCTCACCTGAGCTTCATTTAGAACTGCTCTGACACGTTACAGACATGAGGTGTAGGCAGTGCAGGCACTGAACAGGGTCAGGGAGTCAAGGAGGAATTTCAGGACTGGTTGTGTGCGTTGTGAGGCTGATTGAAGTCGGTTTTGTAATTGGAACTGTGGACTTGGAGACAACGACTCAAATCTCCATCCTGGCTCTCCTTCATTTACGGCTTTGTGCTTGTTGATGAAGCACGGTGCTTCTACAGCTTGATCCTGGCTTAGCTTTGGTCTCGATGCCAGTGGCCACCGAGGGTTGACTTCAAAGGGTCAGAGAGGGCCTGGCAGGGCCGAGGAAAGCTGTCCAGAAGGGCCAATGTTAAGCAAAATACTGTAAATATAAATTCAGGGTCTAATGGGATTCTTTTTGTCCTTTCATGAGAGCTGCAGGAGTGGTTTTGTTACTGGGTCCTTTCAGAAGACATGTTTACAGGTCAAATTAACACATCCAGGTAAACAAAACTCAGTGTAAAGTACAGGAGCTGGTGGTGCCCACAGACCTGCTGCCTCTGTGGAGTCGCTGCTCGGATCCAGAATTTGCAGAATCCAAGCTCGTAATAGGCTCAGAATGTGCCCCCGCCTGTTGTGGGAACTTTGACTTCCTTCCACTGCTGCAGCTTCACTGAATCTGCTATGAGACTTTCTAGCTTTTTACAAGCCAAGAAAAATGTATGCCTCTGCACTTAATAGGGGAAGGGTTATTTTGTGAGCTGCTGGAGGAAGAAAAATGGGTTTTGGATGGCAACAGCACATAACATGATTTTACTCTCTTTTTTTTTTCAGACAACAGCTGTGATCTTGCATAGCTATAACAAAGTATCAGCAGCATATTAAAAGAGAGCACAACAGAGAAAAGAAGCAGTGGGGAATGACAAAACAAAAATTGAATTCACTAGGATTATTATTCCATGACAGTATTTAAATAAAAAAACCCACTCTAATTAATTTAGTTGTTCAGGGAGAGGGTGGAAAGAAGGAAGATGGCACTAAAATAGTAAGAACAACATTAGTAAGGGGCACAGCCAGCGTGTGCTGTTGGCTCTGTTCATCCCAGCACTTGCATCCACGGTGCTAGTATGAGGGAGGACGATCAGCCCCACGGTGCTCGGGAGCAGCAGAGGGAGTGCAGCCCATTTTGGGCCAGACCAGGCTCCTCAAAATATCTGTGGCAGGGGGGAAGCTGCACAAAACCACCCCAAGGGGTATCAGTATTTTGGGACCGGAGCCTGTCCCACACCATGTTACAATCCTGCAGCTCCCACACGCTGGCACGTGCCAAAATGGGAGAGTTACAGCGGCCACATGGAGCTCAGGATGGAGGAAACAGATACTTGTGCTTGCAACCCACGGAGCAACGCTTGAAACCAGCCACTGCTCCCCAGTGCTTGGTTCCTGGGCATGCAGCCCCCAGTTCAGTGCTGATGGCTGCTGGAAGACACTGTTGGAAAGAGGCCATTGCCAGGGAGAGCAGTGGTGAGGGCCCTGTGCTGGGAAGTGAGAGCAGGAAATGGCAGTGCTCCCACAAGCTGGGAGGCTCAAAGCAACAATCCCACCCTCTACCCCAGCCTCCAGATTAAGCAGAGTCTTTCACTAGACCAGCATGTTGGGTGGAAATGAATTGTCTCTTAGAAAGAGCTCAGGTCTTCACTGACTCCAAAGAAAGGAACAGGAAGGGCATGACAGAATTTATGGTAACACACATGAGATAAAATCCAAGTGAAGACACGGTTATCATCGAGGCTCTTGTCTCCCTTAGCAGGTCAGGGTGAGCTCCCAGCCCTCTCCTCTCTGTGTCCCAGCTGCCAGCTGAAGGGGTTTTATCCAGCCCTCTGCTTCAGTGTGTGCTGCTCCTTCACAGCCAGAGCCAAATGGAGGCACATCCAGCGTGTGATGGGGAGGAGGAAGTGGGATGATCTGCCTCTCCATAACCAGACCCAGCTGGGTTATTCCTGTGCAAGACAGCAATGAATTGAAATTAAAATTATACCAACCAGACTGAAATGCAATTAAAGGAGTTCCCTTAGGGTTGCACATCCAATTAGTAGAGCACCTTTAATTACACCAGTGCAGACATGTGCCGAGAGGACCACCAGCACAGAGATGAGGCCTGCCTGGTGACCCACATCCATGGGGGCTCCAGAGGAGTTATGCCTGGGTTTCCACCAACACAAGTGACCTGCTCCCCCTCTGGGGAAGAGAAGCCCCTGGACTAGGAGCAAGGCAGAGGAGAAATAGAGAAACCATTTTCAGCTTTGTGAGAGCAATTGTCTCTAGCAGACAGTTTCTGGAAAGCAATTAATATCCAGATGCTTCTAAAAATAAGAGTTCTTCCCAATTTTTTGTATATGAGGTTTCCCTCTTGCAGTGTCTGAACATACCCTGCTCTGAGGAACTGGGGAAGCTGAAGTTGACTTTGATAAGAAAACTCATTAAAACACTAACAATGCAAATATTAAGAATTGCCAGAAACACCAGAGCACTTCTAGGTGTCCCTCAGCCATCTCCAGGGAGTTTTGTGAGGTAGAACTAAAAATACCTTCCCACCTGTAGCCTTGAGCATAACACCACCTCCAAAGCAGCCAGTGGGTGTGACTCAGGAGTGTGGTCCTTATTTGGAGCCTTAGTCCAAGTCTGTCGAAGCCTACAGTCTGGCTGCTCTGAACTATTCCTGTTTAAAATCCTGTCAAAGAGAGTAAACAAAGCTGAAGGAGACTCTCCTTTGCCCATTGTAGCACCAAGCCTGAGGGCTGGTGTGTGTCAATAATCCCTGGGACCCAATTTTAATGCAAAATCATGTCACCTTGCACCAGATGGTGCCCTCAGGTCAATACTGACAGGGGTACAGGAGCAGGTGCTCCACACATCTTCACATGCTCCTCCTCAAGTGTTCCTTTAAGCACCCTCAAAAGTTGAGCCACAGGCTTAGTGAGATTAACAATGATAATCATTCCCATCCATCACTGCAAACCAGGCTGCGGAGCCGCTGAATCCGTTCTGCTCCAGGAACCCGGGAAATCGACGCCGTACCTGAGCAGCCAGGCAGGGGCAGCTCCAGGCTTGCTGTAAAGAGGAACAGAGCGATTGCTCAGGCTCACTTCCTTATTCATTTTTTTTATGAGCCCTCAGAGCCTCCCTAGGAATTATCAAAGCCTCTCCAAGGAGGGCAGAGCCGCAAAGGGAGCGTTTATTCACGGGCTGGTGCTTCATGCTGCGATAACCCTCTGTGTGAACATACTGGAGTGGCTGTACGGGTCTCCTCCCTCACATGGGCAGTGAGGCCTCTCCTTTAACCTGCTTTCTGCACCTTCAGCATTTGACCACCCTCATTACAGACTCACAAGTGGCTTTTTTCCCCTATAATCAGCTCTTTGCCATGCATCAGTGGATGGTAGCAAAGGCAAAGCTTGTATGTTTGTTACGAACTACCCTGGTGCTCTGTCTGAGGGAGCCTCCTGTTCCCCAGGGATGCATTACAAACTGGGATGTGTGAAATCGAGCAGGATTAGGGAACACCACAACATTTAAGCAACAGGGACCTTCACTGGGAGGATTTGGGCTGAAAACCAGTTGCAAGACTGTGCAACCTCCAAAGGTCCTTAATGTGCCGGAGCTGGGCCCCCAGATACCTGCAGGGACAGAGATGTTCGAGAAGGCTCAGCTGTGGTCAGGAGGAAGAATGGGATGGTTTGCTCCATGCCTGCTGCCCTGCCTTTCCTGACAATGGAGGCAGCAGAGCCAAGGCATGCAGCTTCACATCGAGTTCATATTGCAACCATTCCAGAAATCCCATGTGCCAGAATGACATAATTCTGCCACCACACAGAAAAATGTAATTATTGGGTGTCAGTGGGGCTTCAGACCTGACTTGTGAGAGCAAAAAACATTCACAGCTCCCTTGGAGAGTCTAGATGTTATAGGGGTTATTTTTCCCCTGTGAATATCCTACAGGGGTGATTTCAGGGCTTGAAACCAGCTCACATATGACACTAACACAGTGTCCCTCTGAACAATATAGCACCCCTTCTCCTGCCAAGGTAAATGGGAGAAGCTAAGTTTCCTTATTACTCATCAGCCTGATAAATCAAAGCTGCTGTGCTGTACTTCCCTCCCACCCCCTCTGGCGTTTCTGAGTTCTGGCTCAAGCAGAAATCACGGGGTGAGCTCGCTTGGGCTATGTAAGGGAGCACACCAGCCCTGGTGGTTATACAAGTTCTTGAAATCACCTTAGGAAATGGGAAGCTGTTTTTCCATCCACCCAGGCTGTGACATTCAGAGGTGCTCAGCATGCATCTAATGAAAACAGGAGGGTCTGTGCCACTGGGCTTTGCCATCCCCATGGGCCTGTTTGCAGAGTGGGGCAGGAAAAAGGAGCCTGTTGGGCTTGGGCAGCTCAGGGCTGAGTGGTCCCTGCAGCAGGATGGGGCAGGATGGGTGCAGGGCTGGGGCTGTGCACTGGCTCTGGGAGGGGAGCTGCTGGTATCAGAAAGCATCCCACTTCCCTTGGAGGGATTACAGGGAAATCAGAGCACAAACACAGGGGTTGGTGCTCACACCATGGTACGTTGGAGTGACAGAGCCTGATAACTTGGAGGGGAGGCTGTGATGGCATCCACAGCCACCAGTTCCAGCACCCTTCCCTGCAGAGGCTGGAGCAGCCAGATCTGCCCCCAGCCAAAGGGAAACTGCCCCGTGGCTGTCAGGTCAGAGTGGTGTTTCTTTGGCAGTTTATAGCAATCCTATTTGTGGATTAAAACACAGCCGTCAAGGCAGCTCGTCTGGGATTTACAGCAGGGCCTCAAAATGCAGGAGAAAAGGAAAGCTGAACTCTCCTTTGATGTTTGCAAGTGTAACCTGCAGACTTGAGCTGAACACACTGTAAATAAGGATCATTAATCATCAGCTAAGCGGCACACGGTTGCTGTTATTTATTATAACAACATAAATCACCCGGAGCTGCTATCATGTTAATTTGGATTTAGTATGGATTAGTATGGAAAGGAGAGTATCCTTACCTATTTACAAAATACATACCTTTACTTGTAAACACATATAGATGTGCCGTGGTTTTTGTTCCTTAAGTTTCCTCCAGTTAGTAAGCAAGTCAGGAAAATGCTCTGGGAGCTCTGCACATGAGAGATTTCCAAAGGTTCAGGCCAAGCTGCAGCCCAGAAAAATCTGTCTTGTGATGACACAGTGAGTTGGCACCGAAGGGAGAAGCAAGACCAGGAGCTCTGGGACACATTTCAGAGGGGCATCTCTGTGCACTGCCCCCAGCCCTTCCTCCAGCCCCTCTGCAGGGCCCTTCCCAGAAACTGCCCTGCCTCCATGTATCACTGCAGTAACCTCACGGACTTCCTTACTTCTTTTATTTGCAGCTCAGCTCTGGCTTTCAGTTTTAAGAAGTGTGAGGCATGGGTTTTGTGGGATGCTGGAGCCCTCTGCCCCTGCCTTTGGAAGGAAGGCTTAACAGGGAAGGAGCATTTTAATTTATATTAAGGGAGCATTAACCACACTTTTCACATTCTCCAGAAATGCCAGCTGTACTCCTTGCTGATATATTATTTTTTCCCCTTAATTTGGCTTTGTTGAAGCTAAAAGGTGGGGTTGAGATCCTCATGCACCAGAGCAAGACCGGGGGAGGCACCAGTATGACCATACCAGGTGTTCTGGGTGTGGAGCTCATGTCAGAGCTGGAGACATGGCCCCATCCCTCTCCACAGATCATTTCTAAGTGTGGTGACAACAGAACTTCACCCCACAGGGATCCTCATCTCAGTGCTCAGGCACAGCAGCTGTCTCTGCCCTCGAGCACTCAGGCATAGTTAGGGGGCCCATTCTACCCCCCAAAATAACTTGAATTCTTTAAAGTGGGGCAGGTTTGCTGTTAAGAAGTCACAGCAAATTTCTCCCCGCAGTCCTGGGAATCTGTTTTATCCTGATGAAGCTGGAGGTGCTGAGGCTTGACTCAGGATGCGGAGATCCCTGACCAACCCCATGGAGGTCACCAGTGCTGCTTTAGCTGGAGATGTGTCCTGATTAAGAAAGAGGCCTTGATATCTGGGAAACAGAGATCAGAACAATCAGGGGTTTGCATTTTTAAAATGTAACTGCAAGGCAAATAAAAAGAATGTTATTTTTTGGGCCGGCCCAAAGATTTCCCACAGGCTTGAAGCTGCAGTGATACATTTAACAACAGGCTCATAAGTCCCAGGTAAAGAACAAAAGCAACGTTGCACCTGCATCCTGACTCCACTGGGTCCAAAAGTGCAAGTAATTGCCTTTAATTGGCTCTGTTGTTTTTAACCTGTGTTTTGTGTGTGCCAGATGAACAGACATCAAACCAGGGAGAATTTCTCTAAGTGTTGAGCCAGAGCTGAGGTTTGCATAAATTAAAATTGGGTTAATTATAATAACTCTAGTACAATAGGGATAGTATAATAAGACTAATTAGAGTGGGGCTAATATGAGGGTTCTAGCCACAGCAGCCACTGCACAAAACACTCACCCAGGTTCTTCAGAGGTTTCCCTGGACTTGCATCCCACTCAACTCAGGGTCAATCCAACATCTAAAAGCCTCTGCAGAGCTCTGACTGTGTTTTCCTGAGCATCCACGCTCGCCTCGCACCGACCATATGTCTGTCTCTGTCTGCTAGCAGATTGCACCAAATATTTTCCTTTTCTACCGTGGCTGAGCAAACAAACACCATCTGCAGGGCTCCTCGAGGGAAATCCCGTCCCCTCTGTGCCTGCAGGGAGGCAGCAGCGCGTGTCCGTGGGGCTGACGCTTCTGCACCCGGACCCTGGGACAGGAACCTCTCCCTGCTCCTCAGCTCTGCCCATCCGCCGAGCTGAGCTGAGACCTGACAGTTGGCACACGTTTTAATTCAGGTTTTACTACAGGAAGGCTGAGCCCTGTCAGAGCAGACTGCCTAGCGATGACCCAGTCTTGTGGGACTGCCTTGGGGCAGTGGGAGGTGGAAGAGGGTGAGAAGGCCTTTTTGTGGTTGGCTCTGCCTTGGATGTATCCATGCTGCTGGGGGCTTTGGGCATTTTCCAGCCATGCTCAAATGCCTGATTTTTGCCCAGGCCTGATTTTTGGTCTGCCTTGGCATACTTAGGACGAGATGTCTGGGAGGGCAGCTGATGGGGGATGGAAATTATTCCTTGTTCAAGCCTTTATTCCTTTGGTAGGTAAATCTCCTGGGGGGCACTGCTTGATATGGAGGGTCTGTGCCATCCATCCATGCAGCCCAGCACTGGAGCAGGGAAGCACCAGCAGCTGCTGAAGCAAAGGTGTGAAAGTGGTCCCCAGCTGGGCACAGTTTTCTTTCCTGCTTTGCTGTTCTCTGTTATTTGCCTTTCTCCAGGAAACCCCTTTTCTGGTAAAATCAGAAGGGAAGTCTCAATTTTGTAAAATCCCCTGCAGTTTTGACCCACGTGGCCGTTCTCAGAGGTCCCCTGCTGGTTGATGGGCCCAGCAGGTGCAGCTGTAAATTACCTGTCACCTCAGCTGCTTTTCCACTCGCGCTTCTGCAGCGCTGGGTCCAGAGCTTGTGCTCTGACCAAATCTTTTGTACAAGTGCCCTTTGGATTCAGCAATTCGCACGCTGAAAGCAGAACCAATGAACCACAGGCTTCTCTGCCGCTGCTTTTAATTAAAAATGCCATGTCTAACACCAGCAGATGTTCCTGCTACTGAGGCTCAACGAATAATTTAATGCCATGTAATGCAATGCTGACTGCGCTGCTTAGTCTGAAAGTGTAACAGACTTTTTTATTATTATTATTATTATTTCCTTTTGGGGATCAAATCCCTCAATATTTGAAATACTAAAACTTGCTAGTCTAATGGCTGTAGCCAATTACTGCACCAAATGGTCTCAGCAGCTCCGTGTCTTTCAAGTCAGTGCTGCAGCCCACGATGCCTCTGCGACCACGGTGAGCTCTCAGGGCCGCGGGCGCACAGCAAAATTGGGCTCAGAGGGGCGGCACGAGCAGCAAACTAAGCCTGTTAAAGGCTTTGATTCAGACGCTTGGGGAAAGAGGGAATTCAAAGCATGAGGCTGTTCCTCTTCCCATTTTTTTTCCAGTCTTCTGATGAAGCGGATCCATTCTGTCACTTGCGGTGGCCGCTCAGCATGTCAGAGCTGAGCACCCTTTGCTGGTGGGGTGGTCCCAGGGTGTGCTCTGCATTCAGGTGGATGGGAGGAGAGGGACCCCCTCTTCCCAGGGGGGCTCTTTTAATCCCCAGGAAAACAGCTGACTTGTGAGACTCTATGGAACCGCCTCCCTCTGCTCTCGCTCCTTCCCATTACATGATGAATCACGTAATAATTGTATATTTGTTGAAAAACAGCTGGGGAACTTCGCTAAATGAATAAAATATCAGGTACCGGTGTATTTACATAAAAAGGTCTTTACCAGATGGGCAGCACTTTGAGACGAAGCACGAGGTAGACGAGGATGTTTTACCTTCCCCGTCAGCCGCCGAGCCCAGCCCATCCTTCAGCGTGGGTTTTGCTGTGAAGCTCGGCATTGTTTGAAAATCACATTAACAGTTTAGCACGGCGGAGATGATCGTTGCCTCAGCGGGGCACGGAGCTGATTCATGCACGTGCCCAACGCCGCTGTCTCACTATATCACACCACTGCCGAAACCGCTTTACTGGCTTTCTGTCATGCAACGAATTTATTTCAAAGTGTGTGGGCCTTATACTGCCTGGAATGGCTTTAGTTGTACTTTAAATACTGCATAAACCAAATTTAGAGATGTATTTCTTGCTTCCCTCTGTTCCCTGCATCATTTTTTTCGCTCCTGACTGTCCAACTGGTAGCAGTAATTCACTGCAGAGGAAGACGTTTCCTAGATTTCCGAGAGCACCAACTCCTTAACCTTTATGAAATTAAGGAGAATGAATCACTCGTGACTTTTACATCTTTCTCGAACACAAGTATTTGTTAGCTTCAGGCTGCCCAGGGCAGTGCTTTGGCTCAGTTTAACTTAGCTGTAAATGTTTGTAAATTCCCACATAATGTCTCAGCACAATGGAGGCTGTGCGTGCACACGTGGATTTATTGGGAGAGACACTAAACATATTTCAGCTGGAGGGAAGGAAGATGAGGCACTTATCTGGTTTACTGTCCTATACAGTATATATTGGCATCTCATATTTTGTGAACATAAATGCCAGGTTGACTCAAGAGATCTGTGGATCAAGTGTTGTTTGTAACCTGCTCTGAATGCTTCAAATCGCATTAAAGTTTCATCTCAGCAGCGAGGCCTTTTGCCATCTTTCAGTATCTCCCATGCCCTAGGAGATGCTGGGAGTTGGGATTTTGGAGCACAAGATGAGCACACAACAGCCAAGCAAGAGGATGTAAAGGTTGCATCTGGTAACTGTTTATTTTTAAGGGAAAAAATGACTCATTTAGCTTATTTTGTGAGTTTATCCTGGTTTTGTCAATATGAGGGAGCAGGTTCCTGTCCCAGCTTCATCCTCTGCAACCCAAGGAAAGAAGTGAGGGTGCCCTGTTCAGCTCTGGCCCTTGCTGTCATCCCTCTCCTGCATCCCGGTGTTTTGGTGCATGCACATAGGGTGGGAAGAGGCACCAGGAATGTGCCACTCCCCCGCCTTGCAGGGCCTGGGGACAAGCTCCCCTTTGGGTAGAGCAGGCCCAGGGCATGTCTGCCTGCCCCTTTCCCTCCCCCAGGATAGTCAAGGATGGTGCTGTGCTCTGTAGCAGCTCGCTGCAGTCAGATCCTGCCAGAAACAGATCTGGGAGCATCTGGCAGCTACATGTGTCTCTCACAAGGTGTGATTTTCCTTTGGTGTTGTTGTACTTCCACGCTCGCCTCGGCGGCTGTTGCTCCTTTCCGCAGAGCCGCTTCCCCGGGCGGCAGAGATCCCGCCGGTCCCGGGATGACGGGCCATTAGCAAGGGGGACACTGCGCCGTGCTATTAACGCAGCGGGGGGTTCCCTGAGCACCAGGAAACAACAGGCTGTTACAGAGACACAGCCACACTTTTCACAGCTGGATCCAAGCGCACTGATGCAGCTCCCGTGCTGTCGATGACAACAAACAGCCCTCCTCTCCGTGCCAGGGAAACGAGACGTGTGAGGATGGGGACGCCTGTATCCATCCCCCTCCGGCTCGGATTCTGCAAGGACAGCATCACTGTAAGGGACAGGCTGTTGTTTAGGACTCTCCACTGTTTCCCTTCTCATGGATAAGGATTGGGAGTTACCATGGATGCAGAGAAAGCTGAGACAGTGTTTTCTGGGGTCAAGCAGGTTAGGAGATATGATGACATTGATAATAAAGGCTGAAAATGCCATCTTTCAAATCAGCGTGACGGTGCTTCACCCTGTCAAGTGTCAGCTTGCCCCAGATGACAAATATTCTCAGATCAATGGAGCTGAGAGATTTCACAATTCTGCATCCTGTGTAGTGCTCATCTCCCTGCATCTCTGGCTAATATTAGTAACAAAGATTTACCCTTCTCTAAATAAAGCAAAAAAAAAAAAATAAAAATCCCAATTCAAACCATTCCCAGTGTTTAGGAGCCACAGAGGGAACAAAGTACCAAAGCAGAGGAGTTTGACACCTGAAAACTGGAGAACCTCCTTCTTGGAAGACATTAATAGTTTATTAAGAAATACTTTCAGCCCTGATTTAACACTCATTTAAGTAGAAGTCCTTCTCTCTAGATAAGGTAAAGCTGGGATGCTGCTCTGACGGCTGTTTTCTACAACTGTCACCAACCAAATTTTGTGGCTCCACACCACCACATCCTTTTATGATGAAGTTCCCTCAAAGAATAACTTGCTTGCTTTAATCATGTTTTCTCTGAGATTTATAGCTTGATGCTTATTCACTGACGGAGCTTCTCCACGTGAAATGTCAGTAAGCCCGTTATAAATCGCTCCTGGCATTCCTGCTCTATCTTTTACTTGGCCAGGAGTATTTCTACCTGAAAGTGATAAATTCCTGCTATAACTGCTTTATGTGCTCCAGTAATTACGCTGTAGAGGGATGGCAGGGGCTGTGTGTGTGGAGGTACCGCCTAAAAAACAGAAACCTGTAAAAAGTGGGAGATTGGGCTGAACCCTGAGGTGCTGCAGGAAACACAGGCTGAGGGAAAAACTACTCTGGCAATCTGAAATAACAGTGACTGGTGAGGTATTTCTGTTAGACTGAAGCAGGGGAATGGGTAGAAGAGAGAGAAGAAAATGAATTTTTTAAATTCAAGGCAGAAAGGCATCGGCACAGGGGAAGACACCCTGCCTTGTCTGGGTGCCAGGCATGAGGGGTGGATGCCCTCAGCCCCACCATGCCGTGTCCACCCACCTGTCTAAGGTCTCCTTTGGGTAGGAGATATTTATAGTGTGTTAGATGTGTTACAAATACACAAACACCGGAAAGACGTAGGGTATTTGATTGATTTGGGTGCTATTGTGGTATCTAGATGGGCCAAGACCAATGGCGTGAGGTTCAACAGGATTCAATGCCAGGTCCAATAGTTTGGCCACAACAACCCCCTGCAGTGCTACAGGCTGGGGGAAGGGGGGCTGGAAACAGCCCAGAGGCAAAGGACCTGGGGGTGCTGGTCAACAGCAGCCAAATATAAGCCAGTGTATGCCCAGGTGGTCAAGAAAGCCAATGGCACCTGGCCTGTAGCGTGGTCAGCAGGACCAGGGCAGTGATTGTCCCCCCGTGCTGGGCACTGCCGAGGCCACACCGCGAGTGCTGCGTTCAGTTCTGGGCCCCTCATTCAGGAAGGACATTGAGGGGCTGGAGCGTGTCCAGAGAAGGGCAATGGAGTTGGGGAAGGGTCTGGAGCACACGTCTTGTGAAGAGCAGCTGAGGGAGCTGGGGGGGCTCAGCCTGGAGAAAAGGAGGCTCAGGGAGGACCTTCCTGCTCTCTGCAACTCCCTGACAGGAGGGTGGAGCCGGGGGGAGTGCGGGCTCTGCTCCCAGGGACAGGGCAAGGGGAAACGGACTCGTTCAGCCTGGACATCAGAAAGCATTTCTTCACAGAAAAGGAGACTAGACATTGGAATGGGCTGCCCAGGCAAGTGGTGGACTCACCATCCCTGGAGGTATTTAAGGAAACGCCGGATGTGGCACTCTCCGGATCCCGTGCCACAGCACTCAGTGCCACGGTCTAGTTGCCATGGTGGTGTCGGGTCACAGGCTGGACTCACATGACCTCAGAGGTCTTTTCCAAGCTAACTGACCGTGACTCTATGACCGTGCCCCGGGTTTCTCCCCCCCCCCGCCCTTTCCCTCCCCTCAGGGCGGCCCCGCCCCGCTCGCGGAGCGCGGGAAGCGCCGGGGGGCGGTGAGCGCGCGCGCGCGCGCGTGGCTCCCGCGCCTGCGCGGTGGCGGCGGGCGGGGAATTCAGAGCGGCGGCGGGAAGCGCGGTGGGAAGGGCAGGGCTGAGGGCAGGGGAGCGATGAGGGAGGCGCTGCGCGGCCGCTCGGGCAACCAGCCGGCCCCAGACGGTCACCTGCGCACTGTCGACCCCCCCATGGCGTCCCCCGGGCAGCCTTGGTCCCGCACCCGCGCCGCGCTGGGGCGGCTGGAGAGGGCGCTGAGCTGCTCCCGCTGGTAATGGGTGACCCCCTTTCCCTTCTCCCCCTTCCCCTGCGGTTCTTGCCGTGAGGCCGCGCGTGTTAAAAGTGCCGTGTTTCTCCCTCCTGTGCCCACAGCGCCGGCGTCCTGCGGCAGCCCGTGTCCCTGGGGCAGTGCGAGCACGTCTTCTGCCTGTAAGTACCGGGGCCGCCGTGCTGTGGGCACGGGGCCCGGAGGTGGCACCGGCGGGGCTTCCTGGCCCTTTCGGGGGGCTGAGGGGGAGAGAAAGGCGGGAGCTGCCGCCCTCCTGTGGGTCCCCTGCCAGAGTGTTGGTTTAGGCTTCAGGATGCTGGCCTGGTGTGAAGGGAGCCCTCAGTCTGATGGAGGGGATTGTCCACCTGTAGTGGGGTTAGAACTGCGAAACAACTTCTCATAATCTCTTAACTCCTTGCTCCTCCTCTCCTCATTGCAAACAAAAAAAGAGCAGCCTGGAAAGATGTTCCCTGTTTCCAAGGGGGTTTTGCTCTACCGGGAGTGAGTGCTGCTTGCCCTTGCTCTGGCCTCCTGTGCTGATGACATCGCCCCTTCAGATCTGCCGCTGCAGCTCCTCCTGTATTCCTGCCCGTCCGAACACGTTAGGATAGCAGGATTACCTCTGCTTACAGTTTGTTAAATAATCCGAGTGCTTAAAAAAAAAACCGGAGTTATGTTGGAAACATTCTGGTACAAGGCACTTCTGAGGAGGTGGTGGTCGCTTGGCCTGTTTTAGGACAACTCGCTGCTTCGTCAGTACAGGGAGAGTCTGAAATGTTTGTGCCCCAGAATCACATTTGGTGGTGGAACCTTTTGGCTGCCCTGTATGTCACTGCTCTTCACAGCATGCAAATGCAGACACGGGGAGTTAAAAGGTCAATGGTATATCTTGAACAGTTTCTCTGCACAGCAGAGGTGTGAGAAGCCTGATAAAATATATTTGTTACAGTGGAGAGGATAAATACCTTCTAACCTCTGCTTGTAAGCCAGTCTAGATATTCAGCTTTGCCTCTTGACACTGTAATCACTATGTCAGTAAAAGCAGAGGAAAACCCTTCCTCCCTCATGGATGTGTATCCACTCCCTGTATTCAGCTGCACTTTTCTCATTGGAGCTTACAGTGCTGGAGGCCTGAAGGGTGAAGTGCAAATAAAATATTTTCTTGCTTTTTAAGGAGTAATTGATTATGGGACAGATGCTATCAGTGTCTCCTCCCCGATATGGATGTATTAAAAGATGCAATATGATTTATTTCTCTCCAGACATGTGTGCTCTTTCCCAGCTGTGGCCATTAACTGCTGTAGGAGATTCTTGAAGAGGGACTTTTTACAAAGGCATGTAGTGACAGGACAAGGGGCAATGGCTTCAAATTGGCAAAAAGTAGATGTTAGGAAAAAATTCTTCCCTGTGATGGTGGTGAGGTCCTGGCACAGGTTGCCCAGAGGAGCTGTGGCTGCCCCACCCCTGGAAGTGTTCAAGGCCATGGCAGGGGTGTGGAACCAGCTGGTCTTTAAGGTCCCTTCCAACCCAAGCCATTCTGTGATTCTGCTGTCTGGAGGAATTTTTTTTCTTATTTATTTCCTTTATATGACCTGTCTACAGATTACTTGGTAAAATAACCCCCAGAAGCTCCTACAGGTTACTTATAAACATGATTGTGTGGCTTAATAAATGTAATTGTTTAGCTGTTGGTTGTCTAAGGCCTTGTGGTTTTGTTTTTGAAGATCAGAAGACAATGCAGTTTGTATTGGTGAGGCTGGAAAGAATAGCTAAGAGGAGTCTTAAGCACTCATTAGCAGCTATTTCTTGCTCCAGATGAAGGAGTCCATTTGCTATTATCTGAGTTATTGTTATACCTAATCTCTTCTCTTTTGTATGCCTGACCTTTTAGCAGCAATTTGATGTGTCCTTTGATGACCGAGTCTCTGATAGCTGCTATTTTTTTAAATAAACCTAAGGAAATTTAGATTAATTTGTTTAGAAGCAAATTATGTAGGGCATGGGTCCACTCTGCAGTATTTTGACGTGAAGTGATTCTGATCCACTGCCCAAGCCAAACATTTATTGATACAGCTGGGAAGGAGCAGGGTGGATGGCCAGAGCTGGCTGCTGATAGATGAAGTGAAATATGTGAAACTAATGAACTGCAGTAATCAGGTCACACATAATAGAACTGGTTCTCCCTCAGCACGGTTTTATTATGGACAGGGATATTTATTAAGATCAGTTTCTGGAGTTTTGCATAGCTCTACCAGGTTAGCCTCAGTCATTATCCACTAACTATAAAGCCCCAACAGCTAGAATTACTTAAGCAATGTTGTAGTATAAAAGTCATTCTGCATTTCCTTTGCTGTACCTTTTACAGGCATGGGAAACCGAGGCTGACTTCCCTAGAGAATGAGAGCTGGTTGGTCCTTCCCTTTGCTCCAGGTGTTGTCAGTGTCATCTGGAATGTGTCAGAGCCAGGAACTGATCTCCCGATCACAGCAGTGTCTCAGCCACGAGGTCCTTCTCCTACTCAGAGCACAAAACACACCTGGCAGCAATTTTTCCATACCAAATTTCCTCCCTTGGGATTAGCTGAACGCATGATTCATGGGTGGTGTTTGAGGGAGAGATGCTGGTGCAGGGAACAGATCTGAAAATACCTTTCTCCTTAAAGGAAGTGGCAGTAGCTATAATTTTGGTATATTTTGGTTAACTGATATGCTACTAGCTTTGGGGTGTATGAATGTTTAGAGTCAAGATGTATAGTTCTGATCTTCTTTTTCTTGATATTACTGCCTTGATATTGCTTGCTATCTGTTCCTCTGAGTGTTTAACATGATCTGCTCACATTTACTTGTATGCCTTTGGCTAGAATTGTGTGTGCTACGTAGGGGTGAGTAAGGGAGACTTTGAAAATTAATTCAGTCTTGGGTATTTGAAACCATAAGCTGTATTTAATAGGATAGATTGTAGATGAGAAGTAGCAATGGCCCTTGAATGTTGCAGTTCAGATGGGAAAGCATCTGATTAGGCTTCTCACTGGCCTGATCAAAAGAATAGAAGATTTTAGGCTGATATGGGGAGAGTAGTACTGCTGAGGAGGTACAGGTGTTAAATGACCATTGCCAAGTAAATGTTTCCCCACCCACCCCACCTTGATCATCTGACATAAGTGCTCTGAAGGAGAGAGCAGTGATAGAATGCTCTGAACACCTGCAGATCCTCATGGGACTTCATACAGAGAAGTGTTCAGACAGGTGAATCTTCACAATATCAAGAAAATTTTAAGTGGGGAAAAAGCAGAAATGATAGTTTACTGTGGATTGGCTTTCTGGCACTTCTTTAAAAATGGAAGACTGCAGAATAGCAGGTGTGAAAGGATGTGTGGTTTTAACTGTTCAAGCCTAATTGTTACCTGGAGGCAGACAGCAGTGGAGATTTAGCATTTCTTGAAAATTTGGGTCAGCTTCTGATTGGGGAAGTCACAAGACACCACATTTTTCATGACAGTGTCCTGACAAGGCTCTGGACTTGGCTTGCTTAATTATGTTCAGCTTGTCACTTGCCAAGATAAATATGTGCTGTCCTGCGTTTGTGACTCCCTGGTGGGGTTTACAACAGTGGTCTGTCAGGGCTAAAATGAGAGCTTCTCGCTGAGTGCTTTTCATTTGCCTTTCAGATCCTGCGTGGGCGACTGTGTGGGCAGGGAGTGCCCCGTGTGCCACGTGCCAGCCTGGCTGCGGGATGCCCGGATCAACCGGCAGCT